GACATGAACTGTTTGTTTTCTGCCTACTGAGACCAGCAACTTAAGTATCATATGGCTTTCAGTCTACATAAGATTACTTGTAAATCTTACTTGTTTTAAAGATATTTTTTCGCATGCTCACTAGCCTCATCTTTACAAACTACTCAACATGTTTAAAGCCTTAAAACTAGGCAACATGGTGTTAGCCTTTCCAAGGAGGTAACCATTATAAGCTGAACTAAGACAATCTTCCACCATCTTTATGATGATTACTGGGCATTAACTTCATGGACACAGCCGTTTCAGACACACAGAACGTGCTATTCAAAGGTTTGCATCCACATTGATTGTGATCACTGGTTCTTAACCTTGGGTTACTCAGGAGTTTTGGACTGCAGCTCCCAGAAGCCCTCACCACCAACTGTGCTGGCTGGGGTTTCTGGGAGTTGCAGTTCAAAAACATCCGAGTAACAAAGGTTAAGAACCACTGGATTGTGATTATGGGACAAAGCTTGTTACATTTTCCTAGGCAGCTCAAACTGTATTCTAGGCAACCAGGAATAATGTACAAATTTGTGTGAGCACACTGGCAGAGGACAAATAGAATGTCTTAGCTATTCTCCACATCCCATGTAGGAGCCCAGTGGACATTTTTCCATACACAGAAGAAAAATGCAATCTCTTTTAATTATCATTGAGCTGATACTAATCTCAGCAGACCAGAAGCTTTTGCAGAGCATATCTGCAAGGATAACAAAGTACTGCAAATTTACCTTGGGCCAGTCTTTCTCGGCTTGACCGACCTCAGAGGTGTTGATAAGAGTCATGTATCCCACTTTGAACTCTTTGAAGGCAAAACAGTCATGTATCTGATGGTAGAGATGGGTGCTTCGTATTTGTATCCCCAGGGATGCGATTATGAAATGCCCACCTGCACCTGATGGTGAGCACTTCATATTCACATCCCTGGTACCACCAGAAGTACTATAAATATGCAAAAAAAAAAGTACAGCCAGCAGACTTGCCTTACAGAAAACTGTTTTGTGGCACATTAACATTCTGTGTAACATATAGTGGGATGTGCAGTACAAGCTCATTAAAATGAAATATTTTACAGCATGTACAAAGGGAATCACCCAGTCACCCCAGTACACTACTGTATGGGCAAACTTCCCCTTTATTTCTAATAGCACTCAGTAAAATAAAGGTACAAAAACTATACAACAAATTGAGCAGTTGAAAAGCTGCTCAATTTCTTGTGTATATTCAGCAATTTAAAAGGTGGGGCGGAGAAATGTGTGGCTCTCCAGATGTTGGTCTGCAATTGCCATTATCTTTCATCACTGGCTATACTGGCTAAGGCTGATGGGCAATGCAATTCAACATCTACAAGGCTACAAGCCCCCCACCCCGGCCTCAATTTAAAACAAGTACCTGTAGTACACAGTATATATTTGATGGAGAATTCACTATCCCCCTACCCATTTCAATTTCACAGCTTACCCCATAGGTACTGTTATCCAGAGAACCAGAGAGGTGAAGGCCCATTGCTAGTGCAAATTCCAAAGGCAGGTTGTGAAGCAAAGGCTCATGCCAGCCAAAGATTTTTGACTCTTGATTATGCTTATAGCAGACATGCCTGTTCCCAGAGGTCTGTAGTGGCCACAGCAACACATGCCTTAGTTACATCCTGGCTGGATTACTGTAACACACTCTATATGGGGCTACCTCTGGAAAATGTCCAGAAACTTCACAGAGTGTCTAAGACAGCGTGTCCTATGCCATGCGTGCCACCAGCTGGCACACAGAGCATCTTTGTGGGCATGTGAGCTGGAAGTCAACGGATCGCTACCCCTAGTAGCCAAACCTGAAGAGGCGGCTGCAGCTGCAGTGCTAGCACCTGAACAGGCCAGGATCCGGAGCAGCTGGTGCTGGCGGGGATGGGCATGACTGGAGGTGGATCCGAAGTGGGGTCTGGAGGCACCTCCATGCCTTGGATTCCCGTCTGCCGCCACCACCTGCTGCATTGGGTTTTGTTTTTTTCAGTTTGGGCACTCGGGCTCAAAAAGGTTCACATCACTGGTCTAACATGCAACAGTCCGACTGGTAACTGGGGCTGGTTACAGGGATTACATAATCCCCCGTACAGCAGCTCCTGTGACTGGCAATCTGTTTCTGGGGAGAATTCAAACTGCCGATTTCAACCTATAAAGCCTTAAACAGGTTGGGTCCAAGCTATATAAATGACCATGTCCTCCTTTACGTTGCTTTTATTTATCTTTTTAGCATGGTCCTCACTGCTGCTAGCTTTGAATACTGTCTCTTAATGTTAAGTTGCCTTGAGTGCTTTTTAAGGAGAAGGATGTGGGCTAAAAGTATTTAAAATAAATAAATAAATAAATAAAGTTTGTAGCCCTATTGGAATAGGGAATCAACAGACTACATGAGTAGATGGAGTAACTCAAAAGAACCATAGTAGTGCTTCTACAAAGGGTCAAACTGCACACACATATATATACACACACACTCTGTGTGTGTGTGTGCGTATAAAAATTGCTATTACCTTATACCTTTTAATATATAAAAATTGCTATTACCTTTCATCCATCATAAGTATTTTAAAGCCACATGACCTGAGAAATGCAAACGAAACTATCCTGTTTGAGTCCTTTTTAAGAAGGCAGGGTAAAAATATTTTGAATAAATAGAAAAATGAAGATAAAGACAATTTCTTGTTGAGATTCACCAGCCACCCACCATCCCAGTTTTTTAAAAACTCCTAAAAATGGAACTATGTAAAGCTTTTTGCATTAATGTCCTTCTTCTGATGACCTGTGTTTTAAATCTGGTATATGTTGGGTTTGGTGAGCGATGTTGCATTTTATTGTATTCTATTGCATTGTATTGAATTATCTGTGCATTAAATGTTTTAATTTATTGGATTTTTTGTATTTATGTGTAGGTTAACTACTCAGAGTGTGCACATTGCACTACTAGGCAGTATATAAATTAAAAAAAACCTCCCCATTTAATAGCTCTGCTACTGCCAATTAACATTTAAACTTTTGGTCTTCACATATATTAGTGATCTTGTACGGCTGCTGTTCAACTCCTTCACATGATAAACATGGTATTAACATATTGATAAAGACATTAATCTCAGCATCCAAAGCATTTCATTTGTTGACACTAATTTACAGCCTGTACAGACAGCAAGAAAATCAACACATATATGCAATATTGAATGTACCCATGTAGATTACAGACCCAGAGCAGAATGAAATATACATTCCCATACTTCTCAAAACCATTATTTATTAAGTGTAAATTAGGCAAAAATGAGTTCTTGGTGCCTTATTAAAACTTGTTTTCTTTGGTAAAGGCCATTTTTGTAAGATCAGCAGTATTCAGTCTTCCCATAATGGAGAAACATTAAGGAGTGAATGAAGATACAAGAACAGCACTGAAATCTTGTGTATGCAATTATTATGGTGTTAGAAACCTAGTTAGGCTGCAACAATTTAATACTGCAACAAATCACAGGCACCAAGAAGAAAGTCCCCTGGCAATACAGGATCAAGAGAAAGTCACCTTGTGGATTATGCAAGAAGTTCACAGACTATTATAGATTTCAGCCATAACATAAGAGTTAAGTATCTATAATAGGTTCAGATACTACACCAAACACCAAAGTAAATATTCTCTAGTTTAACAGAAGCAGAGTAACTACCTCTTCTTTAGAACCAGACCTTTTAATCTTGCAGTGCATGAGCACTCCAATTAAGAGAGTCAGTTGACATGCTTCCTCTTTATGCAGCAGGAAACAGACAATTACCCAAGTGTCACCATATCCAGTACAAATTGTTATGGCTTACTTGCGTGCATAAGATTTCAACAGTGTTCCACTGTCTTTTCATTCACTCCTTATCAATGTTTGTCTATCATGGGAAAATCATGAATATTGCTGATCTTATAAAAACTGACCTTCCAGGACCTCAAGTTAGTTTACAATGGAACCCAGGCAAGAGATATCCAGCCCAGGATAACCTTTGTACCATAAATACAAGCAAATTCCTAATTAGGTAACAAGCATACATCTTGATTAAGCAGGATACAAAAACACCTCCAGGATTCTTGAAGTATTGTCCAGTGAAGTTTGTTTCTATGGTATCCACCTAACAGATTTCAATACCAACTCTGCAGTAACCACTAGCACTGCATAGAGATCTGTCATTCCCAGTGCCTCCTCTCATTGTGTCTATGTATGGCCTCCATAGTTCAATGAATACCTATTTCTGGATCCTCAACATGGTTGAAATCCTATCCTGAAGGAAACCACATAAATTCATGCTTTCAGACTGTGATTACCTCTTAAGCAGAGATCCAATGGAAGCCACAGACAGAACCTAATTAGTGAAAAAGTGTTAGGTTTGCAAGGATAAGTGCTTCTTTCTTGCCCTCTTAACATATTGCTAAGTCCAGGGTCCTCTGCTCACAGATGAAATCCACATTGTCACATCTTCAGTAGTTGCTGTCTTTTGCCACAGTGTTAATCTACCTTTCCCTCAGGTCAACAGTATGTCATGATGCCAAATGAAGATACAAGATAACATACTGGGAGCACTGTTGCCAGCTAGGATTGCTGGAGGTAACCCAGCTGAGCACCCAAACACCAAGGAATAATGGAGCCACTATCCAAGGGGTGGATGTCTCACTATTTAGTGAGAAGTCTGACACTAATAGAAGAACATGGGCATTAATTTCTGTCTTTTTGCTACTAATTAGAATTTCTAATCCAAGTGTTTCCAGCATACATCTGCATTTTTGAAATATGATGCAAAGAAAAGTACTGTATGGGGAAAAAATTCAAGCTTCGCAAGTTGTTATTCAAAAACTAAGTCCAGTTCCAAAATTAATAAGTTACAGATACACACAGACCCCTGTATGTTTTACTGTTTCAGTGCAGCAAGAAATGTAACTTGCAGTAACCTCATAAGAATTGTATACTTGAAGGCTGAACAGTAACATAAATTTGACTGTTTAATGTTATACAGTACATACTATAATCTGAACATAATTGAAGAGCACACTAACTGGATCTTAGCATATGGTCTTTTTATACATTATTTCACTGCAACCACTGAATGCAGATCTCAAAGTATTAGTACATAAGATATTCCTTATACTTGTAAGAGGAGAATAAAAACTAAAAGGGTTAAACATCATCTCATTTCATCTGCACCTGTTCTTCCAATTATACATTATAATCCAGGTAACAAACATGTAAACTGCTGAACCATAGATTAAATTTAAATATTAAAATTTTATGATCAATTGATGTGCAGCAATATTAAGGGAAATATGATCAAACTATGTTTGCGCAAATAAATCTTTAACAGTCTGCAAGCAGTTTGAATATTTGTTTCATACTTTGTATAAAACTGTTTTAGATAATACCCAATAAATGTTATCAGTGCAATCTTGTCAGTGAAGAAAATGCAATATTAACAGTCTATTTTTCTTTTATAGGATATAAAAATTCTCATTTGCACTGCTAAATTTTGTGAACCATTGAGGTTACATTGTGCTAGGGTACTTTTCAGCTGAAGTAATCTGAGCCAACTTTAGCTGATATCTTTAGACAGCTGTTACCCACAGCCATGGACATAAAAATAGAAGACAGCTGAAAACAATAATTACTAGTTTAAAAAGCTGCTAGGAAAAGCACTTAAGCAGAACAGCTTGATCAACACAAACTGCCTGGCTCTGTCTATTGCTACTGCCAATTTTTTAAAAAAAAATCAATAAAAATTATATAATAAAAAAGCTTAGAAAAAAGTTGAACTTCCTCTGAAAAATATACTTGCAAACATGTTCTGAAATGGCCATAATGTCTCACTGCTTCCCCACTGTATCTTCCCCTGGAATTATAACTTAAAGGAAGCCTTTGCTTAATTTATAATAATGTTCCATTATTTTAAGAGTTAAAATATTAATAATTTAAAATAACATTTACTGCTAGCAAGCAGAAAGAAAACAGCATGTTAATCTATAAGCAGCAACCTATAGATTTTGGTTGAAAAACAATCTGCTAAACTGCATGCAAGATGACATATAGTTTTCTCATTGTTTCTTGGATAAAATTACAAAAACTAAGTTCAAACACTTTAAAGTTACATGAAGATCCATAAAGATTCTGAATACCCTGACTGAATTATTCTGCAGCTGATCTTTCAAATGAAAATATGTTCATCACAAATCTCCCCTCCACTGACCACAGCCCCCCCAAAAAAAAAATTAACAAAAAAGAAAATACAATAAATTCTTGGTAGGAGATTCTTCTTGTGGTGCAATGTAGCATATTCTACAGCCAGATAAGACTTTAAAATTACATTGCAATTTCATTACATTTTTTCATTAACATGCAACTCATTGAGAAATACAAAACACTTGCCTTTCAAGAAGTAACAGCATTATAAAGAAAGTCTGCATCAATAAAATTTTCTCTCCGATTGGGTTTACACAGTAATAAAACCTGCATTTTCACTAAAGCTCAGATATCAGGTTTCATGGTATGATGCATTAATTTACTCTTTGTGAACATGACTTTCAAGGGGAAGTATGCACACCGAGATACTAGACTATTAAAAGTTCAGTTGCAGAATTTTATTGATACAGCAGATTAACAAAAACTATTAAGGAAAATAAGAGGATAGTCTTTCATTACATTATTTAATAACACATTTTAAAAATTAAAATATTAAATCCTTTTAAATGCTCAATGCCACAAAGAAGTCCAGAGAAGTCTGGTGTCAATACTGAGGTGTGTAAAATCAATCTTCTCTCACAAATCTGCATCTGGCTGTATTTTTTACTCCAACTTGTTCAAAAGCAATATGGCACCTCCAAAAGACACAAGTGCCAAAGAAACACTGGATTAGATACATAAAAGGAGACCATGTCTTTTCTTTTACTTTCTAACAAATACTGTCAGAAGAGTCACTATTTTGTCAAGCTGATTTTTTCACAGTTAAATGTCAAGAAAAATAAAATACAGACACGGACAGATATTGCTTGATACCCATTCTAACTGTTTTCCTTTTTTTTTTAATCAACAGATTTAACAGACAGTCTTGTACTGTCAGTTTTAAAGCCGCAGTCATAGCTATACAAGCACTTTAGAAGTCAGAAACATTTTTTAAAAAGGATTATTTACAGGCAGTTTCTTTAGTTCATGTGTCTATATAGCCAGCGCACATTACACTTCACAAAACCCATGGTTAATGATTTTAACGTGTGTGGCTTATATATATGACCAAGGAACTCCAAATACAGGGGAAGGAAACAAAAACTGGTCTAGCTTCCATTAGCAACCCCACTGTGAGCACCAACAGCCTTCTTCAGTCTCAAATGTCACATATAATAACATTATTCTTCAGAAATGTCACTTAATCAAGATAGCAATGCAGTCTGTTCATCGTCTTTCCCTTTTGGATGTTCTCCTGCGTACCTGAGAAAAAGCATCATATGAAAAAGTTATATGCCTAGCACAGGTAAGAAGAAACATATATAGACACGTTTTTACATTCTTATCAGTTGATCCATCAAGAACCAAAAGCAGAAACTGAAGTTGAATGCAAATGCACCTCAGTGTGTGCCTTGCGTTCTGATGGCATCTATGTGCCTTGAACTGCTTTTAATAGTATCTATATTTTCATCCCTGGACTGCAAGCAGAACAAAACCTATCAATTTTGAAGGAAATCAATCCTGAGTGCTCACTGGAAGGACAGATCCTGAAGCTGAGGCTCCAATACTTTGGCCATCTCATGAGAAGAGAGGACTCCCTAAAAAGACCCTGATGTTAGGAAAGTGTGAAGGAAAGAGAAGAAGGTAACAGCAGAGGACAAGATGGTTGGACAGTGTCACCGAAGCTACCAACATGAATTTGACTCAACTCCAGGAGGCAGTGGGAAACAGTAGGTCCTGGCGTGCTCTGGTCCATGGGGGTCACGAAGACGTGGTCACAACTAAACATCTAATATTTTCATTAACATTTTGGTGAACTGATCAAGGGTATGGCAGCTACAATTCACTCATGTTCCGTTTTCCCTTCATTTCTACTGCAGTGAGGGAAATGGAGCTATAGATCCACCTCACACTAATATTCATCACTCTCTACAAATATATTTATTCAGTACATAGTATGTGAACATTTACTTTAACTGTGGAAACTTCTTCCTCCTCCATCGTAACTTCTTCAGGAATATCCTGAACAGGTGAATTACTCTGAAACACCTCCATCTCTTCACCAGATTCATTTTCTTTACTTGCTGTCTGCTTTGCTCGTCCAGTTCTTCTAAAATGAAAAATCACAAATCAAGTATTAATATTATAAACCAGAACTATTATATAACCTAGGATAATGAATAAGTTACGGGAAGGTCTACAGGTCATTATCAATCTAAGCCATACTGATTTTTCATTCTCCATGAACCTTATATACCATAGTTGTTCAAAGGATACTACAACACAAAGTAAACTAGAACACAGTTGGTAAAGGATGCTGAATCCCTGCTGCAGAGTAAGGCATAAGACATAGGGAAACTGCCTCAAGTTAAGAAATCTCCGTAGAAATTATCTGTGGTACTCTTGAGTTGCGCCATTTGGTGTGTAACAGAAAATGTCCACAGAAATTTCTTAAGTCTTTGCCTCTAAGAGTTATGCCTTTTGTATAACTTCGCAACAGGTTTTTGGCCACTGGGTAGAAATAAAGATAAACTGCCTTTCAGTTTATGCTTCAGGCCACATTTTATGAGGTACACAGTTTGAACATACAGTAACAGACAGAATTTAATGGCTAGAATCCTGTTGGTTAGCTGTGGTGGCATATGTGCAATTGTGCAAAATGTAGCAGTGAGTAGCCACTAGTTAATGAGTTGCTGCTGGTATCCTTCAATGTGCACCAACTCATTTAACTGGTGTGCAAGCAGTGGCTTGTTAACTAGTGGTGGTTCACTACTACAATTTTGGCCACTCCAACTAACTTATGGGATTTCTGGCCAATGTACCTTCATCACACTTCATTTTACCCTTTTTTCTGTTGTGAAGGTGGTGTTTTTGGTGGTCTTCCTCGTCTTTTCTGTGGTGTAGATTGGTTGGATTCAGTTGTACTTATTTCAGATGATTCAGACCTGTTTTAAAATATATTCAGGTTTTATCTAAATGTTAAAAGAATTCAAGCTGAAAGTTAGGTAACAGTACATAAAACAATAGACATACCTTTGCTGTGTTTTTCTTTGTGTTTTGTACTGCCGACCTTTTGACTTTTGGTCTATGTTTTCCACTTGTCTTTCTTCCTCCTCCTCCTCCTCCTCTTCCTCCTCCTCCTCTTCCTCTACAGATTTAATTGGTGTAGGCTTTTTCCTACCTCTTTTAGAAGTCTTAGCTGTTGGTTCTTCCTTTGGCGTGCCTCCAGAAACTGCTTTAGGAGGTCGTCCTCTTCTTCCTTTCTTTGGTGGGCTGTTTTGTTCATCTTCACTTTCTAGAACATCCTCTTTTAGTCTTTTTTCCTCTGACCATTGAGGTTCCTCAGATTCTGAAATAGCTGCTGCTCTTTTTCTGCCTCGTTGACCACTTCTAAGTTTGGGCTCTTGTCCTAGCTTACTCAGGTCATCCATTCCCAATTTTTCTTCTGGATCTGTAATAATTTTCTTTCTACCTCTAGGTTTTTCCAATTCTGACTAAGGAAGGAAAAAAAAGTTACCTCTCATGGCAAATATATCAAGGAGTCACATATAAAAAGAGATCTAGTCTAGTCTTCAATGAAACACTCCCCAACACAGTTGAAAGTTATTTATCTTCAAAAAATATTGTGCCACCAGCAGTTAAATTGCAAACTAACAGATCAGAAGACTACAAGAAAAGAACAAAGCATATATTTTACAATTAAATGTCATTTAAAAGCTTTGCTTAATTCTTCAGTGGCAGTGACAAAAGCCTTCCAAAAATTCTAATGTAGATATCAAAATCTGCAAAGTTGGTGTGAATGTTCCAACCATGTCAGGACTCCTAGTTCGGATTTTTGGAAGGTATACATTAGATTTTCCAGTCGGTCAAAGGGATTTTTGATATGAATTCAGCCACACCTACAACAGTTTCCTAGAAAATATGGTGCTTTAGGCAGGTAATATTTATTAAGATTAGTTGAACAAAACAAAATATAATTAACTCATTCTTACAATTTCAGCATCCTCTCTCTTGTCATTCTTTTTTCCTGGCAAAGGTGAAGCCATTGTATAGTCCTCATTTTCACTGTGGTCCATTTCAGTGCTGTCAAGTCTATTACGACACAGATATTCCAGGTTATTAGAAATACAAGTAATTCTGCAGTTGTTAATTTAACAACAAACAGACCAGAAACAAGCAAAGAAACATAAGTGTTATAACTATTTTAAGGCAATATTTTTATTAACTTCCTACATTATTTCTGTCTATTACTAAAGACTGTCAAAATGGCAGTTGTTTATTTACTTAAAATATTTTCCCTCTCTTTCTTCTCCCGATGATCCAAGCAAGGCAGCTTACAATGTTAAAAACAAACAATATAAAAATGGGAAGAGGAGGGTTAAAGAGCAAACAAAAACAAAACAGAACAAAAAACCCAGTAGCCCAATTCTTAGGCAGGCAGCCACTGAAAGAAAACAGGCTATTTATTTATTTATTTATTTTACTTAAAATATTTTCCCTCTCTTTCTTCTCCCGATGATCCAAGCAAGGCAGCTTACAATGTTAAAAACAAACAATATAAAAATGGGAAGAGGAGGGTTAAAGAGCAAACAAAAACAAAACAGAACAAAAAACCCAGTAGCCCAATTCTTAGGCAGGCAGCCACTGAAAGAAAACAGGCTATTTATTTATTTATTTATTTACCTGGATACTTCATGAGACTAGGCATGAGGAGACAAGCATAGGCTACAGAAACAACATGTACCCCATCAATTCTCTGGTGGAGAACAGAGCTAGATCACCTAATGCTATGGAGGCTTTCCTCCATTCCACTGCTGTCTCAATGTACAATTTTCCTACAGAAATGAATGGCAACCACTCACAAAGGCAGCGGAAATTACACTAGCATAGACAAATATGAGGCAAATGTATGAAGAAGCAAATTTTATCCAGAGCAATGACTGAATGTAATTATTTATTCCATGTATTACCCACCTCCCTTTGATTCTTCCAGGTGAGCTTGGATTTGAATTGCTGCTGGCATTGCTTACAGTTTCCATTCGTGAAGATTTGGACTGAGATTGCTTGCCTGCTGATGAAAGAGGTTTATTAACTGCTCCAAGAACATTGGCTGCTTTGGGCTGTTGGAAAAAAGGGGGGGCATTTAGCATTTATTCATTGTTTCATTCTATTAGTATCACACCTTACTCCCAGTGCATTACCAAGGCAATTTAAAAACTTGAACTGAAAATGACAGAGTTAAAAGACAATGTTATTAACACCACAATTAAATAATCATTGTGAAAACAAGCATCAAACTAAAACAATGTAATAACAGTCTTAGAACTGCAAAGCTGGAAGGGACCCAATGGATCATTGAGTCCAGCCCTTACCAAGGAGGCACAGTGGAGAACTGAACTCCCAACTTGTGGCTCCACAGCCAGATGCCTAAACCACTGTAAAAACAATTTAAAACCTTAAGAAAGAAAAGAAACAAAACATCCAACACCCACAATTAAAATATCCTTCCACAGTCCAAAGTCCTGTTTAACCAGAAAGACTCTCCCCGCTTGCAAAAAGGACCAGTAACGGGGCCACCAAGCTTCCCTTGAAATCTAACAAGGCCCTCTCTTTTGTCCTCAACAAATATGGCAGTGAAAGTGGTTGGGCCAAGAAAAAAGCTTCCACAAAATATTAATATTATGATGGATTACTTACTCTCAAACAAACTAGTAAGAGAGCCATTAACATAGCACTTATCCAGTAAAGTGTTTCAAGTGACACTGTGTCCTTTAAATATCATGCTCCAGACTTATGTATTGTATGAACACATCAGCACCGTCTCAAACCATGAGGATTCTATGGGATTCAGGTCAAGACTATGGCAGATTGTTACCACTACATATGCTCTTAAGCCATGCAGCTTCTTCTCCAAGTTGTGGGTTGAGCCTTTGGTTTCACAGACCTGTGAGCAGCCAGATCTTAAAATGTTCAGAGGGTACTAACCTTTCAGAATTCATTGTTACAAAGAGTATTTCTTTTTAAAAAAATATAGTTTAGCCTCAAATTCTTAATAAACCTCATCAGTTAATTGCAGCAATTATGAGTACTAGAGAGGCTAATCATATTTATCAGTCATGTACGGATATTTTGCAATCATCATATGGTATATTTCTACAGAGAAGAGGCTTTCTTGACTGGCTGATTTCTTACTGGTCTTGTCCACATTGGGTGACACTGCATAGCTTGAATCATTTAAACCAACCTATGACTTGTAGAATCCCTGGCCTGGTATGCTTGAAACCTATCCAATTTCTGTTTAAAAACCATTATTGCTTTTTGAAAGTAACCCTTTGCTTTCCTACCTCTTTCAGAACCTACTAAAACACACATCTTCAAAGTACTTTTTAAAACAAACACCAAATACCTGAATATTACACTTTGCTAGTTACATGTTATATGTCACTGTCACCTCCAACGTATGCTGACCCTATGAATAAGTGACTTCCAAAATGTTTTGTCTTCAACAGCCCGGCTCAGCTCTTGCAGACTCAAGCGTGTGGTTCCTTGTGGATTTGACCCATCTTATGTTTGATCTTCCTCTTTTTCTGCTGCCTTTGACTTTTCCCAGCATTATTATCTTCTCCAGTGAATCTTGCCTTCTCATGATGAACGCAAAGCATGGCAGCTCAGTTTCATCATTTTTGCTTCCAGAGCTAGTTCATGCTTGATTTGCTCTAGGACCCACTTTTTCTTTCTGACAGTCCAGGGTATCTGCAAAGCTCTACTCCAGCACCGTATTTCAATAAAAATTTTCTTGTCAGCTTGACAGCTCAGCTTTCATACCCGGACATTTAAGACGGTCCACCCCAAGGAGTTGATGGATCCAAATGGTCTCCTAACGGCTCTTGGGGAGTTTCTTTTTGCCACAGCAGGAGATTCTGTTGACGCCCTGGTTGAACTCTGGAATGGGGAAATGCCCAGAGCAGTTGACACAACTCCTAATATTCCCTCCCATGAGGCAGAGCCAAACTAGTCCCCAGGTTTACAGGAGAGATGGTGGCGATGAAACGAGTGGGATGGAGACTAAAGAGATGACGGTAGAAAACTTGGGAGTGAACCCAACTGAACACAGACTAGAGCCCATTGAAAGTTCTACTCCATAGACAGGACCCTTGGAGAGGTGAAGGCTACCACTTCTTTTCTGGACCCTTGCTCCTCCTCCTCGCTTATAAAAGCTGCTAGAGAGGGACTGGTCAAGTAGGTCCAAGGGGTAATGAATGCCTCCTTGCACTACGGTAGCATTGCAGCATGCCTAAAGGAGTCCACGGTAGCATTGCAGCATGCCTAAAGGAGGCAATAATAAGACCCTTATTGGGGAAAAAATCTCCTTGGATCCCACAGTACTGGAGAATTACAGACAGGCTCTAATATCCCAATATCTTGGGCAAGGTACAGAAGTGGATTGTGGCTTCTCAGCTCTAGGGGTTCCTGGATGAGATGGATTGTCTCTAGAGCCATTTCAATCTGGCTTCAGGCCTGGTTATGGGACAAAGACTGCCTTGGTTGCTCTGGTGGATGACCTACGCCAGGAAATGGACAGGGGGAGTGTGTACCTATTGATTCTGCTGGACCTCTTCTGGGTCATCTCTCTGCAATGGAACTTGGAGGCATTGTTTTAGAATGGCTCTGGTCCTTCCTTGAGAGGACAACTCAGAGGGTGGTGCTGCGGGACTCCTGTTCAACGCCCTGGTCTTTGGCGTCACTCAGGGATCTGTTTTGTCTCCTATGCTATTTAACATCTACATGAAACTACTGGGAGAGGTTGTCTGGGATTTGGGGTTTGATGTCACCCAACTCTCTCACTCTCTCTCTCTCCTTTCCATCTAAATCCAAGGAAGCTTTTTCAGTTCTAAATCAGCACCTGGTTTCACTAATGGACTGAATGAGGGTGAATAAATAGAAATTTAATCCAGACATGATAATGAATGAACTTTATTGCAGTATAAAACCATAAGAATACATCTGTATCTCCCTTCAAGAACCTCTAACAGGACAGATGAGCAGTGAGCCAAAGTGAAAACATCTTGGTCTGTCGAAAAAGCAGATCAAGGAACAGAGCTGCTGCTTGTACTGGATGAGGTTACACTCCCTCTGAAAACACAGGTGCAGTTTGGGGGTGGTCCTAGATTCATCCCTGAGCCTGGATGCCCATGGGTGCCTCTGGACCTTTAAAACTAATGTGCCAACTGCACCAGTTTCTTGAGAGGGTGCACCTGATCTGGCCATTGGGAGACATGCCCTAGTTACATCTCGACTGGATTACTGTAACATGCTCTGTGGGGAACTGCCTTTGGAAAGTGTTTGGAAACTCCAAAGGGTCCAAACTGCAGCAGCCAGATTACTGACTGGGGCTGGTTATAGAGATAATGTGACCCATCCCACCCCGTTACAGCAGCTCTACTAGCTACCAATCTGCTTCTGGATACAATTCAAGGTGCTATAAAACCCTAAATGGCTTGGGTCCAAGCTCTCTAAAAGACCTCCACTACCTCTATGAGCCTGCCCGGCCTTTCAGATCATCAGAGGAGGCCTTTTTCTGGGTCCTGCCACCCTCACAGATACACTTAGTGGTTGACACGAGAGAGGGCCTTCTCTGTCGCTGCTCCCAGGCTCTGGAATTCCCTCCCATGAGAAGCTAGGCTGGCCCCATCATTGCTATTCCTTCTGCAAGCAGGCAAATGCCTTTCTTTTCAGGCAGGCTTTTCTTTAAGGACTGGTGGTCTGAGAGGGGCTTTTAAATAGATTGTTGTGCTCCATTGTTTTAACAGTGTTTTAGTATTGATTATATTACTGTTTTAAATGTAATACTTGTTTAATTTTTTTTAATATTTGTATACTTACTGTTCTTAGCTTTTAAATATTATCTTTTTAATGATTTTAAAAATGGAAAATAAATAAATAAATAGATAAATAGATAAATAAATAAATAAATGGAATACAATATCATGGATGATCTTGGTCTTCAGTGACACCCTCTTATATTTGATGATATTTTCTAATTCCTCCATTGGTACCCTTCCAAGTCTCAGTCTTCTAATTTTTTGGCTGCAGTCTCCATTTGGATTGATGACTGAACCAATTTATACAAAATCTTTAACAATTCCTATTTCTTCATTATCAATATTGTATAGTTCCTCTGCAGTCATGATCTGCATATTGATGAATGGATAGGGAGATAAAATGCACTCCTATCTGACATCCTTACCTATAGGAAACCATTCTGTCTTTACAGCAGTTTCTTGTCCACAATACAGACTATAGATTAGGACAACCAAGTGCTGAGGCAACAAGCCATAGTTTTTCATGATCCATGTAACAAAAGGCTTTGCTGTAGTCTATAAAACACAAGACTGATTTTTTTCTGAAATATTTTTTGTGCTCTTGTAGCCAGCTGGTATTAGCAATATGATCTTGAGTGTTTTCTTCCTTTTTATTACAGTATAGGCAAAAGCAAAATAGGAATAAAAAGAAAAGACAAAAACATGGTGGCACCTTAAAGACTATTACAGTTTTTAATGTGAGCTCTCGTGGACAAGTTCACTTCATCAGCCATAAGAGAGAGATATAATATGGATTCTTTTCACAATCCAGCTTGAACATCGGGCATTTCTCTTTCCATATAAAAGCCTTTGTTGAAACACTTCATTTGCATAGGAAATTAAAGCTTATAGTTCCTGTACACTTTGACATATTTTGGGGGGATTGGAATGTATGTTGAATGTTTCCAGTCTCTGGACCATTATTTTGTTTTCAATATTTGTTGGAATATTCTTGTTAGGAGTTTGACAGATTCAGTCTTTGTGACTTGCACCAGTTCTGTTGGTATTCTATCTACCCTTGGTGATTTATTTCTGCCTAGGGTTTTCAGAAGAGCTTTTTAGAAATGAAGGATTTGTCTTCAAAGGAACCTGTCATCCTTTTATCTCTTCTGTACAGTTCTTCACCATATTGTTTACACCTTCTCTTTATTTTTGTCTAGTCCGAAGAAGCAGACTGGTTCATGAAAGCTCACATAAAAATATAGGAATTAGTCTTTAAAGTGCTACAACTTTTTTGTCTTCCTTATTTTTAATTTTTCTTCTGTTTTTGCCTGATTTCCTGGTCTTTGATATGTACTTCCCTGTTCATCTTTCAGCTTCCTAATCCTGGCTTAAATTTTCCTTTGATTTCTTGAATCTTCTGGAAAACATCTCTTATTTTTCTTCCTTTGTTGTTCTCTCATATTTCTCTGCACTGGCCATTTTACCTTTTGCTTGTCCTTAACTATTTTAAGTGTTTCTTCTATCATCCATGCAGGTTTTTCTTTTCTTTTTACTACAAGAATCATGTTTTTTTCATTTTTCTCAATTCACAGTTCTTCTGGTTCACAGTCAGTTGACCTCCTTATGTGGCCTTTGAATTCATCAGAAATGTTGTTTAAATTATATTCTGATACTAGGAATATTTTATTGTTCCAAGTGACTCTAATAGATCGTGTTCCAGGCTGCTACTTTTAGTATAACACACGCTGTACTTCCATCTACCTTGTTGTTGCCTTGTTGTCTACCTTGTTGTTTGTGCAGGCCTTCCCTCCAGCTAATGCTTGATTTTTCCCCCTTTTTCTTTATATTTTCTCTTTTTCCCTTCTTTCATCTTGATTAACTTCTTTATTGATGTTTAAACTGTGTTATATTTTACATATGGTTATTTATGTTGGTAGCCGCCTAGAGTGGTTGTTTGACCAGATAGGCAGGATATCTATCAATCAATCAATCAATCAATCAATCAATCAATCAATCAATCAATCAATCAATCAATCAATCAATCAATCAATCAATCAATATAAATGCTCCCATGCAGCAAAAAGCATGACATGACCCAGCATTCTGTACCATGTGATATTCCTTTTCCACCATTTAGACAAGTCATATCTTTGTAAGGATAAAAGTATGGTAATTAAAAACTATAGTACTACTGCAAAAAAGAGCAAAATCATCCTTCCTGATGGTACAGCTACAAAGTAATGTAGCCGCACCTTTTTTATTAGGAAAAATAAATAGGTTATTTATAGCCAGTTACTTCTAACCTTCTGGCCAGAGGATTGGAAAAAATCAGTCTACATCCCAATCCCAAAGAAGGACAGTGCCAAGGAACGGATAGGGAATCCCAATCCCAAAGAAGGGCAGTGCCAAGGAATGCTCCAACTACCGTACAATTGCACTCATTTCACACGCTAGCAAGGTTCTGCTCAAAATCCTACAAGGCAGGCTTCAGCAGTATGTGGACCGAGAACTCCCAGAAGTACAAGCTGGATTTCGAAGGGGCAGAGGAACTAGAGACCAAATTGCTAATATGCACGGGATTATGGAGAAAGCCAGAGAGTTCCAGAAAAACATCTACTTCTGCTTCACTGACTACGCAAAAGCCTTTGACTGTGTGGACCACAGCAAACTATGGCAAGTCCTTAAAGAAACAGAGGGTGCCTGACCACCTTATCTATCTCCTGAGATATCTATATGTGGGACAGGAAGAAACAGTTAGAACTGGATATGGAATACCGTATTTGCCAGCGTATAAAACGACATTTTTGGCCCAAAAAACATGCCTCCACGTGGGGGGGATTGTCTTATATGCCGGGTGCACTTCAGTTGGGTCAGGAAGGAGCCACCACCATTGAGTGAGTGACGCGAGGCCGTGCTGGCCAGGGAGGAAGGCAGGCGGGCAAGCAGGCGGTCGGTCCGGACACAGGGAGGGAAGCAGAGCCGGCCATGCCTGAGTTGCCAGAGCCCAACACCGGGCTGCCCGCCGCCCCGCACCACTGAGTCAACTGCCCGCTTGCTGCCGGAGAGCCGCTTCCCCTCCTCCTTCTCCTCCGCTGTCTCCACCCACCCGGCTGCTTCCCCTCCTCATCGTCCTCCTTGTCACCGGCCATGGACTTCCTGGGCGGGCCCAGGCAGAGCCCCGGGCAGCTAACGCAGAGCTATCCACTCCATATTTTGAGTGGAAATGTGGGGGGGGGTGGTCTTATACGCCCAGTTGTCTTGTATACCGGCAAATACGGTAATAGATTGGTTCAAAATTGGGAAAGGAGTACGACAAGCCTGTACACTGTCTCCCTGCTTATTTAACTTATATGCAGAATACATCATGCAAAAGGCAACACTGGATGAATCCCAAACCAGAATTAAGATATCAACAACCAGAAGAAAGATCAGCAACCTCTGATATGCAGATGATACCACTCTGATGGCAGAAAGTGAGGAATTAAAGAACCTCTTAATGAGGGTGAAAGAGGAGAGCGCAAAAAATGGTCTGAAGCTCAACATCCAAAAAACCAAGATCATGGCCACTGGTCCCATCACCTCATGGCAAATAGAAGGGGAAGTTATGGAGGCAGTGACAGATTTTACCTTTTTGAGCTTCATGATCACTGTAGATGGTGACAGCAGCCACAAAATTAAAAGACACCTGCTTCTTGGGAGAAAAGTGTTGACAAACCTAGACAGCATCTTAAAAAGCAGACTTCACCTTGCGGACAAAGGTCCACATAGTCAAAGCTATGGTTTTTCCAGTAGCAATGTATGGAAGTGAGAGCTGAACCATAAAAAGGGCTGACCGCCTAAGAATTGATGCTTTGAATTGTGGTGCTGGAGGAGGCTCTTGAGAGTTCCCTGGACTGCAAGGAGATTAAACCTATCCATTCTAAAGGAAATCAACCCTGGAAGGACAGATCCTGAAGCTGAGACTCCAATACTTTGGCCATCTCATGAGAAGACTCCCTGGAAAAGGCCCTGATGTTGGGAAAATATGAAGGCAAGAGGAGACAGGGATGACAGAGGACGAGATGGTTGGACAGTATCATCAAAGCTACTGACATGAATTTGACCAAACTCCGGGAGGCGGTGGAAGACAGGAGGGCCTGACGTGCTCTGGTCCATGGAGTCATGAAGAGTCGGACATGACTTAACAACTGAACAACATATTCTAAGCTGTAGATTTGCTTTTTGCAATGCATTATATCTGGACCTATTCTGAGATTTTTTTTCCAGAAAATTCAGCTAGTTGAACATACAGTAGGTGCATGACTAACTGGGATTAGGCCCAGAGAACACATCTCATCTGTTTTCAAACAGCCTCAATGGCTGGTGATTTGTTTTATCACAATTGCTCCTGAGTATGTAAAGGGTTGTTTTTATATTTCACATATATACCACATATACTTATTCCAGTTCATGTACACTCTTAAATTTGTGTTTTATCCTTCCCTTTATGGATGTTCCCATTCCCTAAATTTAGGTGTACAATAATTGGATGTCCAGCAAAGGATTGAGTGCCTTTCAGTTCTAGCATCATGTATCGGAAACACCTTCTCTAAGAGAATTTACCTATTTATGTCTTTCCAGTGCTAGGCATAGACTCAGTATTTACACACACATTTCAAACTACTTTCCTGATCCACATGTTTTATAACTGATGTACAATGCTGTTAATGATTTCCCTTTTTGTGTGTTACTGACTCTAAGTTTCTGCATATTTTACTAAAGGACAGGTTACACATTTTATAAATATTATAAATAAATAATGTCTTTTCTATTACCTTCATAAGGATTTATATTTTAAACTTCTTGTTAAGAGTAATATTTTGTTTTGGCTAAATAAATAAAATTAATATTTCTAGTACTAAGTAAATAGATACAGAAGCTCACCTTTCCTGGAGTGAAAAATGATTTCATTTCTGGAGGCAAATAATTTTTGGTATTACTAAAATTCTGTTAAAAAATGAAAGAAAGAAAAAAGAATCAGAAAAAAAATAGACAGATTTATTTCTGAAGATCTAGACAATACTGCACATAAAATATATTTTTTCATGTGCAGGATTAGCACACATATTTAATGAAAAGAATTGCTAGATATTTTATATACAAAGAACTGCCCTGGGTACGACTTTATCATGTAAGCATTTGTGGACTGGGACCTATTAAAGCTTAGACCCTCTTGCATCACATGATCATGGAAAAGTGATCTGTAAGCACTCTGGGAAATGTCTTTGTGTATTCTGTCTCATATTGGATGAGAGATTGGTCGCATAACCAAGCTGCATGATCAACTGTATAGGCACATGCTGCTGAAGCAGGGAACCACTTATGCAGTTTCCGTTACACTCTAAATAGGACACTGGCCTAGCATTTAGTGCTATTTATACCACATAAAATTGCCAGTCATTAAAAATATTATTGCAAATGAAATGGTTACTTTTTAAATGTTAATACTGAGTCCAATGTAAGGCGGGGGTGTCCAATTCTAAAGCCAAATCTTACCTTGTCAGGCTGAGTGAAATATCGAGCAGGAAGGACAGGGTCTTTGGGAGATTCTAAACTATATGTTGTGCTTTTTGACATAATGATGTTCATTGCTATATCACACACAGTGTAAAGTTTCTGGAAAAAAAGGAAATGATATTATAAACTTACTTGTGCATGTCATTTCAATGCAAGTCTTGAAAAGCCAGAATTGGAGACTTATTAGCCCTAGTATATCGTCAATTTTCTACAACAAAAGTAAAAGGGATAAAATGTCTCTTTTTCATATCTCAGAAGCTATTCTATCTTAAGCTATTCTCCTTCAAGGAAGAGATAATTCTTTGAAGAGCCAAAACATTGTATGACATGACAGCAACTCATCAATCTCAACCAGTTATCACAAAAATCTTAATGTGCTACCATAAAAACTTTCTGTTATCCTAAACATTTGGACAGGGAAAGTGATTATTTAAATGCACTCATCTTCACTGATCCTAAAAGCTGGAGATACTTTAAGCTTATAGCAAAATATTTAAATTCAACTTACTTCATTCATTTTTGGATCATCAGGTCCTTGCGCATCTTTTGTCTGTTTAATGTTTTCTACCATTTTTCTTATAAATGCATGACTGTTGTTTTCATTTTTAGCCATCAATATTTCCAATATGAACCAAAGACACCTAAAACAAACACTCCTTATTAAACAGCTACCAGTCAAATAACTGGCCAATATACTAAAATATATATTCCTTTGTAATGTACAGATGTTAAGAACAATCAACTAATTTCCCCAGCAAACAGACTAGAAAGCAGTTTAAAAAAAACTTCCTTATTCAAGGTAGATATATTTACTGCGGGCTACAAAACACTTTTTGAAAACACACACTGTACAATATATTTTATTATTTATTTATTTATTAGAAAGTCTTACTCTTTAATGTCTTTCAGTTGCTCAATATCTTGGACTTTGACATAATCAGGATCATGAGCCAGAAGATGAATAGTGTATGGAACAACATATTCTGGTAAAAGTGACAAGAGCTTCTCTGAAAGTATAAAATAAGAAATAAGTAAAAACATATGGATGCACCATCATAATAATAATTATAATGATAATTGTATGCTGTCAAGTCAATTATGACTTACAGAGACTCTTTTTGGGTTTATATAAAATGTTGATTCAAATATAAAGTTTTTTCAAAGATTTGGAAAAAGGTCCAATTAGAAGTGTAGGTATACGTATTTTTGAAAGTACACACACACACAAGATCTTGAGGATATTATTTTGTTAATGCAGAGTAATGTGTGTGGTACCACTTCCCTGAAAATAAGACTTAACCTGAAAATTAGCCACAGTATGATTTTTCAGGATGCTCGTAATATAAGCCCTACGCCAAAAATAAGCGCCAGTTAAGTGAAATCCCACCCTCCACCCTTGTGCAGCAACCAGAAGAAGATGACATGATTGTATCTGAATAAATGTAGATTGTTGTACATGAAAAAAATTAAAACATCCCCTGAAAATAAGCCCTAATGCATTTTTGAAGCAAAAATTAATATAAGACCCTGTCTTATTTTCAGGGAAACACAGCACTTCATTGTGCTAGAAATATGGCTGAGTTATGAATCAGGAACTATGAAATGTTGCTTCTGCTATAAACTCCCTGGATGGCTTTAGACCTGAAAAGAGTTTTCAACACCATAGTCAAGGTATCTATAACATACTGTATTTGCCAGTGTACAAGACGACTTTTTGGGCCCAAAAACATGCCTCCAAGTGGGGGGGGTCGTCTTGTACGCCGGGTGCACTTCATTTGGGCTCGCTCGCCCGCCGCCCCCCCATTTCCCTTTTCCTCCTCCTCCTCCTGCCCCCCTCAGCCTCTTGCCCTCTTCCTCGCCCTCGGCCAGAGCCCGCCGCCCCGTGCGCGCTGACCCAGCGGCGTGCGCACTCGCCCACCACCTCCCGTTTCCCCTCTTCCTCCTCCTCCTCCTCCTGCCGCCCCCTCAGCCTCTTGCCCTCTTCCTCGCCCTCGGCCAGAGCCCGCCGCCCCGTGCGCGCTGACCCAGCGGCGTGCGCACTCGCCCACCACCTCCCGTTTCCCCTCTTCCTCCTCCTCCTCCTCCTGCCGCCCCCTCAGCCTCTTGCCCTCTTCCTCACCCTCAGCCAGAGCCCGCCGCACCGCGCGCGCTGAGCCAGTGGCGTGCGCACTCGCCCACCACCTCCCGTTTCCCCTTTTCCTCCTCCTCCTCCTCCTGCCTCTGCCCGCCCAGGCTCTTCCTGTTGGGGGGGTCGTCTTATACAGCCAGTCGCCTTGTAGGCCGGCAAATACGGTAGGGAGATGTTTATGCCATCATCAAAGCTTGGCCAACAAAGCAAAGGACTCTTTGTCAGTAGCGCGAAAATGTTGAAAGAAGTATGAATTCAACACAGGTATATGTACCATTGGAGGTTATAAAGCGCAGAGACTCAGGGTGAATAAAGTTCAGAAATAGCTTTTGACAGAAACTCTAGAAACCATGCAAGGATATAGGGACATTTTAATTTATATGTTTATAAAATTATTTTAACAACACATATTCTGCTTCAACTAGGGCCCCAGAATAGTGAATGCTGAAATGAAATACTCTTGAAAGAGTACAGGAATTCTGCTGTAACAGAACCCAAAACAAACAAACCAGTAGCAGAAAAATCACAGATAAAACAGAACAAGAAACACATTTTAACAAAGCTGTTCTGCTGTGTTGCCTGATTTTGTATAACGTGATGGGTGGCCTGGTTTCCTAAGGGAGAAAAACAAATAACCAAGATCATGAATGCAAACTTTTTGGCCCCAATGGCTGCAGCTAGAGATGGTCACGAAAAACTTCATGCATTGTCCTAAATTCCCTTCTCCCACCCCACCCCAGCCAGTTCCCCCCCTCGCCACTCACTAGCCAGCACAGGCAGACCAGTCACAGCAGGAGTATCTGCTTCCCTCCTCCGACAGCCACCCACTCATAGGCTGTGCGGAAGGAATCCCTGCCCTGCCTCCTTGTCTGAGTGGGCAGCTGCCGGAGAAGGGAAGCAGAGATGGAGGATGGAAGCAAATGTTCTAGCTGCGACTGGACAGTCATATAAAGAGCAAGAGAAAAGCAGCATGAACCGGCTGGAGGCAGGAGAAAGGAACGCACAGCACCTGTGTTGCTGCGCCAATGACTTGAGACAACATGGCATGAAGCACTTCGTGCCCATCTGAATTTGCAGCTAGTACTGGTTGAGACAGCCATAGGCTGCATATGCATAAATGCAACTGGTTTTTCTGCCCAATGAAATCTAGGAAGACAGGTGTCAGTGAAGGCTTCCACACATTTATATAAGTTTCCCTTCAAGACAGCTATTTTATGCCAATGCTGGATGACACAGCTTAAGATATGGAATCATTGGTAGTTGAGAAACATTTCTGATTCAACATGGTTCTCCAGTGATGTATACTGAGACTGCCATTTCTCTACTAGTGCTGGTTGTGGCAAAACAGTAACTTGAAAGTAGGATTGCAGATGGTAGGGACAATAATGTTGTCCCTTAGGACTGCTACTTCCATAACACCCGTAATAATAGTACAGTGGTGCCTTGACTTACGAATGCCCTGACCTATGAACAATTTGACTTACGAACAACTTCAGCTGCAAAATTTTGCTTTGACTTGCAACCAGAGCTTTGACTTACGAATGGAAAAAGGCAGGGGAAAAAGTCAGGAAATTCAAACCATTGGTGGCAAATAAGCTGTTTCTTTGTAGCTCTTCCCAACCGTTAGAGCAGGCGGTTAGGGAACTTTTTTACTCCTGGGGCACAGGAGGAGGAAGGAGAGGCGGGGCGGCTCTGGATCACTGCTGGATGTGGGAAGCTGGTGCGCTCGCCGCTCACCCCTGCTGTGGGTCTACTCATGAGTAAGTGCCACCAATGGTATAGGTGTACTCATTAGTAAGTACCACCGAAGGCGCAGGTCTACTCATGAGTAAGTGCCACCAAAGGCGCATGTCGGAGGGGCTCTGTGGATGGGCGTGCGGCAGTGGCGCTGGAGGTAGAAGGAGAAACAGCCGGGTGCCAGTGCTTTCGACTGGCTTTAAAAGGTAATATCCAACAGAACTACGATTCTTTTTTCAAGTATAGTTCTTCCTTGTAATTCTCGGTTTATTGCCTTAAAAAAAAAAGGACTCTGGGCTAAAAGACCAGGCTCTTGCTGATGCACTCTGCATGACTTAAAATTTCTGGAAACTTTGGAAAAGCAGCTCCATATACAACATAATAAAATGACATAATCTAGAAATGGGACAGGCATTCATCAATTAAAAAAAAACCTTGCACACAGCTACTTGTTTTCTCAATTTCTTACCGCTGACTGCCGCATGCTGTTTCAGATATTCCCTTCTCACATTTATGTTTTTCACTAGGCATTGTCTTGCATGAGCTCTCCTTTCTTTCACTGGGTCTTTTGCACACAACGCACAAATGGCCATATACTCCAGTGGCAACCGTAGCCTTGACAGCCCTTTGTGAAGTTTCTGAGCAAATGCTTGTCTGACCTGGTAACACTCATCCTGAAAGTGGGGGGAAAGGCATGCTTTATAATCATGAATTATTTGGCATCTACTTTCAAAACTGTAAAACCTAACAGACTTCACTGCATATATTATGCTGTAAATTGGTAGCTAAGGCAAGTTTCAAGTTATGCATAATTAGGATACAGACAACAGCAATCCCACCCCTTCTGCTTCCTTACATTAATGGCTAATGCACACAGCTGGTACTGTTCTAGTGTTATGATTTCATGATAACAAGGCTCTTGTGCCAGCTTCACAATAGCACTAGCAGCAGCTAGCCTCAGACGAGACATATCAGGTTTGCTGGAAAAGAAACAGAAAAATATGACTTAATTAGTACAAATTTATTAGATAGTTTTATGGAAGGCACTTCATGTAAGTTGTAGTTGTTTCCCCATCACCTACATTACGCATATTTAAATTACAGGGAGGCCCAGCAGTGGGATGAAATAATGCTGCTGGGATGGATATGTTTTTATGATCACACTGTGGAATATTAAGCTTAGATACCCACAAATATTTTGCCTGTGCTTGCAACCAGATCTCCTCCCTCCACTGCAATTAGAACCAGAAGTCTCTAATTAACCATAGTTTTCATGTCACCCACACTGGAAAACTACTGTATCCACTTCAAAACAAACCAGAATATTTAGATACATGATTTAATGTTTTGTTTTGTTTCACAGCTAATTTACCTCAATGAAAGGGAAGAAGGCATTCTTATCAGGCATATATAGTAGGACCCCCATATCCATGGGAACAGTTTCCATGGTTTCACTTACCCACAGTCTGAAAATATTAAAACAAAACATGTCACTTGTATCATCAGAACCAGCCACTCGAGGGAGCCAGAGACTGTGTTATGAATACTTGCTTGTTAAGAATAGATAGCATGGTATTTGATACCCTCTATTGGCCAGTTCTGGTAATGCAAATGAAAATAATTTTTTTCTGGGTTTTTCCCCCTTTTACCACGCTTTCTCTCTTGTTTAGTATTATCTGTGGTTTTTAGTATCCACAGTGGGGCTTGAAACCTATCCCTAGTGGATATGGGGGTCTTACTGTATTTAAAAAGGTAAAGGTTCCCCTTGACATTTAGTTCAGTCGTGCCCGACTCTAGGGCGCAGTGCTCACCCCCCGTTTCCAAGCCGTAGAGCCAATGTTTGTCCGAAGACAGCTTTCATGGTCACGTGGCCAGTGCAACTAGACACGGAACACTGTTACCTTCCCACTGAGGTGGTACCTATTTATCTACTTGCATTTGCATGCTTTCAAACTGATAGGTTGGCAGGAGCTGGGACAAGCGACGGGAGCTCACTCCGTCGCAAGGATTCGATCTTACGACTGCTGGTCTCCTAGCTTTTGGCTAAGGTCAAGTATAGCACAGAGGCTTCTGTGATTTAACCTGCAGCGCCACCAATCCCCAGAGGATATGGGGTCCTACAATATGTATTTAATAACTTGTCTTTTCCCCCATGTATGTTGAGTAACTCACAAGAACGTCCACTTTTGCATACATATCAGTAGATCAGAACCATGACATGATTTTATTCTGCCAACCTGAAGAAACAGCTCAAGGTGCTTTTTAAAACCAGTAACTTATATACAGTACCTGATTTTTCCCTGTTCAGTCAGGTCTCCATCGCTGCGTAATATTGTTGTTAACATTCTCAGAGTAGATGTGCCCGATTTACTGTGGTTATTTTTCATTCCTAGCAACCATCGAACCATCATCTTTATGGCCTGGATCTAAAACAAATGTGAAATAATAAAGGAAATGTAAGCGACAACAGATAGATAGATAACCCTGGCCAAATTCCTGCATCAGCAAAAGTGCAATGGAATCAACTGCAGTGCTAAATTACCTCTAATAAACAAGCTACTGTCTGTGAACCAGTTGTGTGTTGGTGCACAGGTGGCAAATCTATAACTACTGGCAATTCACTTGTACATTTTATGCTGTTGTACACATGGCAGCTTAACTAGCCAACACAATGTATCTGATAATCTAAATATGCAATGGAACAACTATCACAGGAAGCTTGACAGGAAAGCTTATAGATGTGACATCTCAAAATATACACTCCTCTCCTAAAGTAAACTGGAAAATAACTGATGTCAAGCTGCAGTCTACCTCCAGTAAAGTAAACTATCCATTCCTCCTACAAGGCTGCTAAGGTAACCAGTATTGCTGCCTTAATTAGCAGCACATCTCTTAATAAGCATGAATGTGTGTTTTTGTTTTTTTAAACTGTAATCAGTGTATTTTTCTTTACATTCCAACTATTAGCAAACATCTGTTCTAGCAGGGGAAAAGAGGTTGCCATTACACCAAACACTACACTGTATCTAGCAAGCCTTGAACAGCAGTGAAATAGTCCAGAGAATGACATAGCTAACAGCTTGATAAAATACAAAGCAATACAGATAGGCTACAACAAACTGAACATAAGAAAACAAAGGACTCTATTTAATAATTTTTGATGTAAAAAGTTATTATACATTATAAACATTGCTTTCCCAGCACAGTTCCACACCATTGTGGCACCATTTGAAGATAGAATGTGGATATGGAATAGGCTAATGTTATTATCAATCTCCATATGCTACTGTTCCTCCTCTGGAAGACAAGTGCTATTGGCATACCTACATCATCTTTCCCTTCTACAACAGTCATTACTAAACTGTTGGCTACACGTGTGGGGAAAGGCAGCACAGTAGTCCCACTCCCTCTTTGTGCATTTCCATTGCTTTTTGTAGATGAAGTGTGTGAAAGCTGATTTTATTAAAGAAATCTAATCTTTTGAACACTGCATACACATTATGCAAAACTAAGAATGCAGAGCCATTGCCTTCCTGATAAACCTTCTTTAAAATGTGAACATGGGGGGGGGGACTCTACAATATGAATTACCTCTAGTAATAGGCTATTATAAGTTTTCTGAATATGCAGGCCAACAAGCTTCCTTTGTATAACATGAAGCTAAATATCACAACCAAGACTACTAAGGAATGTCCTTAATGACAAGGCACACAATAGAAGCTTTAAAGCCTTAGCCATCTAACTGTGAAATCTGCAATATATACAAATTATCTGAATGAACTGAGAAACTTGCCTTACAAAGAAACAGAAGATTGTGACCTACTGCAAAATCTGTTTATAATGAAAACTCATAATCAACATATGTCCTTATATAACTGATGTTGACAAATCCAAACCACACAAGCTTATAGTCCTTTATGTTATTCAGTCCTTATACTGAATCAAAATGTGTTTATTGCATCATATTGCAAGAACAAGGCTAAAAACCACTTTAGTTAAGCACAAGTTTTTAAGTGACTCACCTTTACAAGAGTCTCAGGAGAAACTTCTTCATCCTGCACCCAAAGCTTAGTTGTCTTTTTTCCTGGCATCTGAAGAATGTTCAAATTTTGTTATTTCTTTACAATCATATACTGAGAAAAAATTAAATTTGAATTTCAAACATCAATTCTCAGTTCTTCCAGGAGGACAAACAAGCAGCAACAGCAGCAGCAGCAGAATATTGGTTCTACTGTTGCTATGTGCTGCCAAGTCAGAAACAACTTATAGCGACCACAATAAAGTTGTTCAAAATAAGTGAAATATTTAAGGAGTGGTTTTACAAGTTCTACACTTCCAGTGAGTTTCCATGGCTGAGTGGGGATTTGAACCCAGATCGCCTGAGTACAGTACAGTGGGGTTTTGACTTGAGAACTTAATCCGTATTGAAAGGCGGTTCTCAAGTCAAAAAGTTCTCAGGTCAAATCTGCATCTCCCATAGGAATGCATTGAAAACCATTTGATCCGTATCTGCTCTTTTCTGTCCATAGAAACTAATGGGAAGCTGCTATTCTGCCTTTGACCACTAGATATTTTGTTTCTTTTTTTCTTAGGTCAAGAAAGGTTCAGGGAAGGCAGGGAAAATACAGTCCAGGCAGTACAGTACCAGGCAGTCCGAAGACTGTCTCCCAATCCACTCTCTAAACGGAAGCAGACAGGCACCCTTTTCACTGGCCAACAGTTAACTGAAAGTTCACATTTTGCACTTTCCCTGCCTCCCACGTGGTTTTTTTAGTTCTTAGCTCAAATCTAAGTACTTAAGTCAAGTCAATATTTTCCTAGGAGAGCGGTTTGTAAGTCAAAATGTTCGTAACTCGGGCCGTTCGTAAGTCAAGACCCCACTGTACTAGTCTCTCTTTCCACTGCACTACATTGGGTATAATTGTTTCAATAATCCTCCTAATGTGAATCAGTACTCACAGAATGGGCTGAAATGAGAGCTATAGATTTATTAGCTAATGCTCTATGCAGGTCTACTTGGGTGCAGGACTAAACTAGAAGTAGGGAAGGGAGCATGCATATGAAAGTGCAGCACAAAGAGATATATAGAGTTCTATAACCATATTTGAGCAGGTGTGGTTGAGAAAGCATCCTATCTAGAAACCTGGTTAAGGCTATTTTCCCAGTTGTAGAAGCTCTATAATGAAGATCCATGTAAAATGATTACAGAACTCTATATAGATTTTTGTGGCTGTATAGGCATGGGCACCAGGCTTGCCTCATGTGTGCACCTATTTCAAATTTCACTCAATAAGAAGGCAACTGAATGCCTACTAAAGGAAACAGTAGGTTTCTAACTGAAAATGCATTAAAAGGCATGCATACACTATTGTAATACTAAGAGGACACATATATGTGCATATGGTGGCAGAATAAAATTTCATTTTAATAAGTACATCTCCTGTATGGAGAATTAGTGAAGAGAAAGCATCCCAGAGGGAGACCGCAGCTGCGATATAAGGACATCTGCAAGTGGAATCTGAAGGCCTTAGGAATGGACCTCAAGAGATGGGAAACCCTGACATCTGAGCGTTCAAGCCTGGAGGCAGGCAGTGCATCATGGCCTCTCCCATTTTAAAGAGACCTTTGTCCAGCAAGCTGAGGCAAAGAGGAAGTTTTTTTTTTTAAGATGGCACCGAGGGCGGGCGGATAGCGATTCTGCCGCCATAGCCTCGGCTTGCTTCCCCACTTTTTCTACACTTTTTTGGGTATTTTTTGTTTTTATTTTATTTTGTCTTCCTCCTTCTGAACTGCCTTCCCCCCTACCCGACCCAGGGGCTGGGGTGTGCTGGAGCGAGCGTGGGGCTGCCTTGAGCCCTGTCGCTCTGTTTTCCTCCTTCTGAGCAGCCAGTCGTTTTGCTTTCTTCCTTCCGAGCTGCCTTCCTCCCTACCCGACCCAGGGTGCAGGGGTGCGCTAGAGTAAGCTCGGGGGTGCCTTGAGCCCCGTCATTGCTCTTTGAGTCAAACTCCTGGCGCTGTGAGTTGGGGCTCGAACCGGGGCTGTTGCGGAGCGGACTGTGGAGCTCGAGTGGCGAGGGCGAACGGAGCTGGAGCTTGGAACGCGTGACCCAGGGTGCAGGGGTGCGCTAGAGTAAGCTCGGGGGTGCCTTGAGCCCCGTCATTGCTCTTTGAGTCAAACTCCTGGCGCTGTGAGTTGGGGCTCGAACCGGGGCTGTTGCGGAGCGGACTGTGGAGCGCGAGTGGCGAGGGCGAACGGAGCTGGAGCTTGGAACGCGGGGGCCAGCTGGAAGGCTGCTCTGTGGAGCTCGGAGGCTCCCTGCTCGAGCTGGGAGACATCTTGGCAGAAGACTCAGAGATCGAGGTCTGGAGTTTGGTGAGGTCTTTCCAACGGAGTGGGTCCGAACGGGGCGCCGCTGCAGAGATCGCTGGGAGGGCGCTGGGTCTGCTGTGCCTGGCCGAGGCTGCCTGTGAGGTTCCAGGAGCATCGGGACGACGCGCCATGTTGGATGTCCAGAGGAGAGTCCCTTCCCCAGATCTTTCTTCTGCCTCATGCTCTTGCTGTTTTAAGAACTATGTTTCCCTAGCCTGCTCCCAAGGGTGGAATATGGCAGGGTCTATGTTTCCCCCACCCCGGATTCTGGCGTTACTGATGCTGCTTATACATCTTATTGAGAACTCTGTGACCACCACCGAGAACTGTGGGTCCTGCCCCTTTAAGTTTCACACACTAGCGCCGCCATTAACACCATCAAGCCCATTAAAATCAAAAAGGACAAGGACACGTGGCAGAGAAGGGCAGCTCAGAAGTATATGTGGGGGATAATTATTGTGGGTTTAAATAGTTTTTTTTACAACTTAGTGTTTGTATATTATTTTTGGGTTATGGATGTTTATTCTATTTACATTGTCTATATATTTTTATTACTGTAGTTTGTTAAATTATTGTTATTTTGTTTATAATTTCTTTCTTTCTTTTCTTTTTCCCTTTATTCTTTCCCTTCCCCTTCCCCATATGGAATGGAAGGCCTGCCCAACCAGCGAGGGGCCCTTGAACATCTCTGTGATCACAGGTAGAGGGAGATATGGCGTTGGCACAGTCCCTAAGTAAGTAAGTAAGTAAGTAAGTAAGTAAGTAAGTAAGTAAGTAAGTAAGTAAGTAAGTAAGTAAGTAAGTAAGTAAGTAAGTAAGTAAGTAAGTAAGTAAGTAAGTAAGTAAGTAAGTAAGTAAGTAAGTAAGTAAGTAAGTAAGTAAGTAAGTAAGTAAGTAAGTAAGTAAGTAAGTAAGTAAGTAAGTAAGTAAGTAAGTAAGTAAGTAAGTAAGTAAGTAAGTAAGTAAGTAAGTAAGTAAGTAAGTAAGTAAGTAAGTAAGTAAGTAAGTAAGTAAGTAAGTAAGTAAGTAAGTAAGTAAGTAAGTAAGTAAGTAAGTAAGTAAGTAAGTAAGTAAGTAAGTAAGTAAGTAAGTAAGTAAGTAAGTAAGTAAGTAAGTAAGTAAGTAAGTAAGTAAGTAAGTAAGTAAGTAAGTAAGTAAGTAAGTAAGTAAGTAAGTAAGTAAGTAAGTAAGTAAGTAAGTAAGTAAGTAAGTAAGTAAGTAAGTAAGTAAGTAAGTAAGTAAGTAAGTAAGTAAGTAAGTAAGTAAGTAAGTAAGTAAGTAAGTAAGTAAGTAAGTAAGTAAGTAAGTAAGTAAGTAAGTAAGTAAGTAAGTAAGTAAGTAAGTAAGTAAGTAAGTAAGTAAGTAAGTAAGTAAGTAAGTAAGTAAGTAAGTAAGTAAGTAAGTAAGTAAGTAAGTAAGTAAGTAAGTAAGTAAGTAAGTAAGTAAGTAAGTAAGTAAGTAAGTAAGTAAGTAAGTAAGTAAGTAAGTAAGTAAGTAAGTAAGTAAGTAAGTAAGTAAGTAAGTAAGTAAGTAAGTAAGTAAGTAAGTAAGTAAGTAAGTAAGTAAGTAAGTAAGTAAGTAAGTAAGTAAGTAAGTAAGTAAGTAAGTAAGTAAGTAAGTAAGTAAGTAAGTAAGTAAGTAAGTAAGTAAGTAAGTAAGTAAGTAAGTAAGTAAGTAAGTAAGTAAGTAAGTAAGTAAGTAAGTAAGTAAGTAAGTAAGTAAGTAAGTAAGTAAGTAAGTAAGTAAGTAAGTAAGTAAGTAAGTAAGTAAGTAAGTAAGTAAGTAAGTAAGTAAGTAAGTAAGTAAGTAAGTAAGTAAGTAAGTAAGTAAGTAAGTAAGTAAGTAAGTAAGTAAGTAAGTAAGTAAGTAAGTAAGTAAGTAAGTAAGTAAGTAAGTAAGTAAGTAAGTAAGTAAGTAAGTAAGTAAGTAAGTAAGTAAGTAAGTAAGTAAGTAAGTAAGTAAGTAAGTAAGTAAGTAAGTAAGTAAGTAAGTAAGTAAGTAAGTAAGTAAGTAAGTAAGTAAGTAAGTAAGTAAGTAAGTAAGTAAGTAAGTAAGTAAGTAAGTAAGTAAGTAAGTAAGTAAGTAAGTAAGTAAGTAAGTAAGTAAGTAAGTAAGTAAGTAAGTAAGTAAGTAAGTAAGTAAGTAAGTAAGTAAGTAAGTAAGTAAGTAAGTAAGTAAGTAAGTAAGTAAGTAAGTAAGTAAGTAAGTAAGTAAGTAAGTAAGTAAGTAAGTAAGTAAGTAAGTAAGTAAGTAAGTAAGTAAGTAAGTAAGTAAGTAAGTAAGTAAGTAAGTAAGTAAGTAAGTAAGTAAGTAAGTAAGTAAGTAAGTAAGTAAGTAAGTAAGTAAGTAAGTAAGTAAGTAAGTAAGTAAGTAAGTAAGTAAGTAAGTAAGTAAGTAAGTAAGTAAGTAAGTAAGTAAGTAAGTAAGTAAGTAAGTAAGTAAGTAAGTAAGTAAGTAAGTAAGTAAGTAAGTAAGTAAGTAAGTAAGTAAGTAAGTAAGTAAGTAAGTAAGTAAGTAAGTAAGTAAGTAAGTAAGTAAGTAAGTAAGTAAGTAAGTAAGTAAGTAAGTAAGTAAGTAAGTAAGTAAGTAAGTAAGTAAGTAAGTAAGTAAGTAAGTAAGTAAGTAAGTAAGTAAGTAAGTAAGTAAGTAAGTAAGTAAGTAAGTAAGTAAGTAAGTAAGTAAGTAAGTAAGTAAGTAAGTAAGTAAGTAAGTAAGTAAGTAAGTAAGTAAGTAAGTAAGTAAGTAAGTAAGTAAGTAAGTAAGTAAGTAAGTAAGTAAGTAAGTAAGTAAGTAAGTAAGTAAGTAAGTAAGTAAGTAAGTAAGTAAGTAAGTAAGTAAGTAAGTAAGTAAGTAAGTAAGTAAGTAAGTAAGTAAGTAAGTAAGTAAGTAAGTAAGTAAGTAAGTAAGTAAGTAAGTAAGTAAGTAAGTAAGTAAGTAAGTAAGTAAGTAAGTAAGTAAGTAAGTAAGTAAGTAAGTAAGTAAGTAAGTAAGTAAGTAAGTAAGTAAGTAAGTAAGTAAGTAAGTAAGTAAGTAAGTAAGTAAGTAAGTAAGTAAGTAAGTAAGTAAGTAAGTAAGTAAGTAAGTAAGTAAGTAAGTAAGTAAGTAAGTAAGTAAGTAAGTAAGTAAGTAAGTAAGTAAGTAAGTAAGTAAGTAAGTAAGTAAGTAAGTAAGTAAGTAAGTAAGTAAGTAAGTAAGTAAGTAAGTAAGTAAGTAAGTAAGTAAGTAAGTAAGTAAGTAAGTAAGTAAGTAAGTAAGTAAGTAAGTAAGTAAGTAAGTAAGTAAGTAAGTAAGTAAGTAAGTAAGTAAGTAAGTAAGTAAGTAAGTAAGTAAGTAAGTAAGTAAGTAAGTAAGTAAGTAAGTAAGTAAGTAAGTAAGTAAGTAAGTAAGTAAGTAAGTAAGTAAGTAAGTAAGTAAGTAAGTAAGTAAGTAAGTAAGTAAGTAAGTAAGTAAGTAAGTAAGTAAGTAAGTAAGTAAGTAAGTAAGTAAGTAAGTAAGTAAGTAAGTAAGTAAGTAAGTAAGTAAGTAAGTAAGTAAGTAAGTAAGTAAGTAAGTAAGTAAGTAAGTAAGTAAGTAAGTAAGTAAGTAAGTAAGTAAGTAAGTAAGTAAGTAAGTAAGTAAGTAAGTAAGTAAGTAAGTAAGTAAGTAAGTAAGTAAGTAAGTAAGTAAGTAAGTAAGTAAGTAAGTAAGTAAGTAAGTTCCGAAACTAGCAAAATCAGGGAGCTGGATAGGGGACAGATTGTCTTCAGTGTGGAAGGGATTGTCACTCACGAATTGGACTTCTCAGCCACACTAGACAATGTTCCAAGACCTCTATTCAGAGTGCATTACCATAATCTCTTGAGACTGAAGGATACCTACCTTAATAAGAAGTGGAAGACAGAGGAGGGACATGACGGAAGGAGAGAGGGATACAATACAGTCTATCTTTTAGATCAACATTTTGCCTGATTTGATCTTGTGGATGTTTAAATCATTTATTCCTAACCCGACAGTCTCTGAACTGTGTAAGTACTTTCTGCTGTTACATGAAAACACATTTCTTACTACAAGAAATGAAGTTACTTTTTATAAAACCTCTTACCCTGTCATTCATTAACAGGTCTTTAACAATGAAGGTGGCCACCAAAGATTTCAAGGGTGCAGCAAACTGATCAGGTGCCAGCAAGGCTATATGGCCAATGGAAACCAGGGGTGTAATCAAATGTTCAAGGTTGCTTGGATCGAGGCTTTTATGTAAAGGCTAAAATACAAACATAGGCATTGAATATAAATGAAAGGAATTGCTGAAATTAATATGTCCTTAATTATCAAGTATACTTCAGTAAAGAAAATATTTTAACTACTCAAAATCTATTACTGCATTTTAAATGTCCATTTGAATTAAATGTTCTTTGTGAAATTTGTTGTACGTGTATACAGAATATATACGTTCTAGGACAATAAATTATTCTTCTAATTTTTTAAATATTTTAGGAAATTGCATATTTTCTGTTACATTGCACTGGGCAATTCTGTTATGCTGGCAATGCTACCCCCCAAAAAAGGCACTATAAACTGAAAACATTTTTAATTACCTCAAATATTTGAGCAAATTGTGTTTCTTTGCTGGAAAATATTGCATGGATGCAGTGAATAGCATATTTGGCCTGACGTGGAGGTCCTTTTTTGGCTTTATGATGCAAAACAGGAAGCAAAGCTCTGTAGATAAAATGGTAAATAAAGAGGAATGTCAAATATCTGTTTCTTATAAACAGGAATACATAATATTCACCAACAGTAGTCATTAAACACATTTCTCTGAGACCTTTGGGTAGAGTGGGCGGCATATAAGTTAAATAAATAAATAAATAAACAAACAAACAAACAAACAAAACAAACAAAAAAACAAAAAAACAAGCAAATGAATGAATGAATGAATGAATGAATATGACAATTTGAAATATAACCCTCAACTTCTTAACTAGTGGTAATTCACTATAGCTATTTAAGCCATTTAACTTACAGCAGCAGTAAGCAATAGTTTCCTGACCAATGAAACGTTTCATTACTGACTTCACTGGAGGTAAATTCTACCTAATATTTCTTAATTTCGTTTATTATAGAACTCCTGACAGTACAGCATTTAACTCACGATCTGATGTGTGAGAAGTCCTCTTCAATTTTGCCTCCTGTATTCTTGAAAATCTGCAATGCAGCTTCAGCTACCTTTTCATCATCCATTTTCAGGCAAGCCAAGAGAGACTCAAAAGTTTCAGCTGAATGGAATGAGATAGGATGTGTAAACGAAAGTACCTGCAAGAACAATTGACAGGGCTTTTAAAAAATGGTTTAATTCTCATGTTATTCCATGCAGCCTAAACTGTTATATGTCCCTATATTTGCTCAGCCAAACTCCAGGATAAACAAAAACAAAACAAAGATACCCAGTTTTAATGCCAATTTATAGCTGACTGCAATACTCCAGTTTAAAAGACAGGCCTCATATCTCTAATCATAGTTCTTTAGGTGATCTTCTGTACACTCACACATATTCATACACAGAGCTCAATCATGGAACCTTCCAAAGCCTAGTTTTTAGGAGACCCCCTTTGCCCTACTATGCAAAACTCTGTGAGAATTTACTGTGCAAATTAATAACTTCAGTGACACAGGAGCTTTTAAAAAGTCAATGCACTGAGCTCTTAACTGTACAATTAAAATGCTAACAAAATATATGACAAAACAAACTTAGATACAGACCTCGTGCTCTTTATTATTAAAAACATATTTTGGCTATGAAGCAACTGTTACATAAACATGACCTTTGAACTAATGAATACAGTACTTTAAAACTTATTTCCTCCTTTAAAAGAAGCTAATCAAACAACAGTTTCTGTTTTTCAGCCACTTTGCTGGCAGTACGGTATGTCAAAGCCAAGTAGCAATGATTTTACAGACCACAAAATTATCGTTTTCTTAAGTTTTCCAAGGGAATATTCCAGGAAGAATTTAACGTTTGTTTAAGGTAGAGATGGGCATGAACCACTGAACCAGTGGTTTGTATTTCAGCTGAATAGGTGCTCAGCATTCCCCAGCCCTGCCTCCTCCAGTAGGCACCCACTCAGAGGCAGCACCCAGAGGAGGTGGGGTGGGGAAGACAAGGAGCTGCCTCTGAGTGGGCACTCGCTGGAGGATATGGAGCTGGGAAGTGCAGAATACCCGTTTGGCTGAAGTACAAACCAGCACAAACTGCCAGTTTAATGGTTCGTGCCCATCACTAGTTTAAGGTCTAAGGAATAATAGTGACAATGGACTGATCTGACACAACCATAACATCGAAGTCTGAGTGAATCCAAGTCTGAGTGACTCACACAATGCAGGGCATGAGCTGTTGATCAGAACCATCCAAGGGTTCTACCACATCACTCCACTAGCCAACTCAGACAAAACTCTTGAGCTCTAACTTGTATATAATTCAATTTACTTCTATCATTCTGAACTCTATCAAAAAAATCCTCCAAATTCTCAAGCTGTGCCCTCCATAAGAATAAATGTAACTGCATCCCCCAGCCTATTTTAAGCCTATTTTAAGTCAATGAGGCTATGTGCATACCACACAGACTTTCAGGGATGCAATTTGCAGGTAAAAGTTATTCTAGGGCAATGATGGTGAAAAAGAGGTTACTTACCTGTAACTCTAGTTCTTCTTCGTGGCCATCTGAGAATTCACACCAATAGGTTAATCTGCGCCTGTGCAGAACAGCCTCGGAGCTTTCCAGGGCTCAGGCACATGGTGCCAGAACCTCCCACATGCTGCCTTTAACCTTGGCCCCGGCACCAGGTGCCTCATTTCCGTAAAACCGTCCGCCGCTGCACAGCGCACAAAAGGCTTGACCCATGACTCCCTCATAAGGTCTAATAAGGACAGTATAAAACACAGCTAAAGAGGCAGGGTCTGGTTGTGAGTTATATCCCCTTATACCTTGTCTACATTTCAAGCTGTCAGTTGCTCTACAACTAAATCCAACATCTTCGCAATGCAAAGAATGAGTTGGAAGTACAAGGTATAATCCTGAGACGGGGAGGGGGGTGATTCCCTGAAACCTCAGGGCCTGGTGTGGGATATTTGGGGGTGAATCTTCCTCTCCCTCCAGAGCCTGTAAAGCCAAGTCCAGAGGAACACGGTCAAGGGATGGAGAATAGTCTTCCCGACCAGGTGGCAGGCAATAAGTGGGTGTATCAACATGGGCTACCTGTGTATTCACATTCCCTCTAGCAGAAGGCTAAACTGAAGACTGAAGGCACTCTGGGGCCGCCTGCATGCTTCCAGAGCCCGATAGCGGTCGGTAAACACACTTCACCTCGACCACGGGAGCATACTCTGGAGGTAAATGCCTCTTAAGGGGGTGTGGTGGTTGAAGATAGAAATCGCCCCGAAGTTCTGTAAGGTGAGCCTCGCCCTGCCGATACCGAGGGGGAGAAGGTGACAATGAGGTTGAATACTGAGGGTAATAGTGAAACCGATAATATGGGTCAAACCTATAGGATCTCTTATTAAGAGTGCGGGTTGAGGTCGAAGTCACTGGGGTCAAAATATGGTGGGCGATCATAATGATGCAGTCTCCTGTAATCCCGGTAATCTCGCTCGAGAACCAGTCGATGCTGAGGAGGCTCAGGCTTGACCAGCAGCTCAAGATGCCAGGATTTATGAGTTCTCTTCCTAGGCACATCCCCAGGCACAGAATCCAGCAGTGAGATGGAGACAGGTTCAGCGATCAAGCCTGGAGACATCCTTGGGCTAGCCTGTGCCAACTGAGTGACCTCGACCGAGGTGTTCCCCAGTCAAGTGAATAACTGACACATGGGGATGGCAAGGCCTCCAGCATCGGAGGCAGACCCTCCTCGTCCCCCAACGGTATGTTTAAACATACCGGTTGTTGTCAGGAAGCATCTGGTGCCTGTGCTGGCTGCACAGTTGTCTCAGACAAACGACCAGGTTTCTGAGTCTTCTTCAGGGCCAATACCGAAGGAGGCTTTGGTGTCGATACCGTAGCTGTCGACCTTGAGCCCGAAGATGTCTGGGGCTTAGATACCATTTTAGGAGACTTTGTGGTCTTAGAAAACTGCAGAGAGCCAGAAACTGGAGAATGCCGATCCACCTGACACGATTCCATGGGGGTTCCTTAGATTGAAAATAAGGACATTTCCCACAAAAAGAAGCAGAGGCGTTGGAGCCTCAACTTAAGGGCCGGTTTAGTAAAGTTTTTACAAACTCCACTCAGGGATGGCTGGTGTTCTATGCCAAGACAAACAACGAGAGTGACCATAGGAAAGGGCAATCTTGTTAGGACAGAACTCACACCTCTTAAAGAGGCCCAGAATGGCCATAAACAATCATTATAGCTCCTCTAACACCAACTAACAGCCTGTTTTTATTCTTTTTACAACTCACAAAGAAGAAGAAATGTTGAACAATCCGACAGAAGCCACGGAGGTCCAATAGTAAGGTAAGGTAAACATAGAACGAGGCACGGAAGTTCCTAACTAGGTGCTGCTGCAGTGGCGGCAAGAAGGGAACTGAGGCACCCGGTGCCAAGGGTGGGGTTAAAGGCAGCGTGTGAGAGGTCCTGGCACCATGTGCTCGAGCTCTGGAAAATCCCAAGGCTGCTCTGCGCAGGTGCAGATTAACCCATTAGTGTGCATTCACAGAGACCACAAAGAAGAACCTATGGCACACATGCGGCAGGTGGCATGCAGAGCCCTCTCTGTGGGCACACGAGCCATCTGACTAGTGGCTAATCTAGTCTTGGGACAGCACCGACCCTGCCTCAGTTTCTCCCCCACTGTTGGGCCCTCCGCATCCCACTATGTGTGTGAGTTGCCCGAGATCCCGCCTTTCCCTTTAAGCCATGCCCCTTTTTCTTTTGGCTCATTTCTGGCCGTGGCTTCGTTTCCCTCTGAGGAATCGAGAGAATGAAGAAGAAGGCTGCCATTTTGCTTGTGTGTGAGTGACTAAGGGAGAAAGCCTTCAAGAGGGACTGAGCTGGGGGGCAGAGCCTGGGAGAAGAGTACGTATTCCCGGATTCGACTAGAGACTCGGGACCCCACGTGGACCCCACCCACAGCCCTTCCTGGCTATTCAGCCCGCTTGCAGGGTCAGGAGGCTGTCTCGCTCTGATTCGGGGAGTCGTTTCTTCACTTTGTAAGGTACCAACATGAATTTGACCAAACTCCAGGAGGCAGTGGAAGACAGGAGGGCCTGGCATGCTTTGGTCCATGGGGTCACAAAGAGTTGGACACGACTTAACAACTAAACAACAAATTCTTCACTCTACGCCCCCTTCCCATATTCCTCCATGGCGGACATGAGATGGAGCCGCTCCAAAAGCGCTTAAGGCATTGCATCTCCAGTTCTGAAGAGAGTTCTAACCTCTCTGTAGACCAAGCACTCATAACCAGTGAGAAGGGGGGAGGTGCCGCTGGTGCTTCTTCCTCTTCTGGGATCAATCCCTCTGTCTGACCAGAAGGGGGATACCCTACTACAGAGAAAGGAAGAAGTGGGGGTGGCAGGCCGTGAGTTCTGAAGCCCACCCTCTTTGACCCCAGGTTGCCTCTGACTTATGGTGACCCTATGAATAAGGGATCCAAAATAACCTGTCCTCAACTGCCATCTCTTCCCCTCCCACTTCTCCCCAAGGACCCACCTCCTTCCAGGTCCTCAGACAGGAAACTCTCGAGGCTACCCAGCTAGAACTTCCACTGGGGACCATAGAGATGGGAAATAAAAGGCATGTACACAGCCTCCACTTCCTCTTTCCGACAGACATAGAGCTACAGAAGCAAGAGGAGCTGTTCATAGAGCTATGAAGGCTACTGAAGAGCTGTTCATATGAACAGCTGCGGCGCCCCTGCCTGGGATTAACAGCACCCTCTGGAGCCACAGCACCCAGTTTGGGAACCCCTGGTTTAAACCATTATAAGATTGGTCTCAGAAAAACTGTTATGAGAATAGTAGTTCTTAAGTAGAAAAAAAATATTTACCTTAAGCAATTCAAGACCTGCCCTAATTGCCTGATCAGTAGGTACACCTTCATCTTCATCATCTGCTGTTCCATCTATAGACTTGTTCACTTGTTTTATAAGGGCACTAACAAAAGAAGAGATCAAAATCAACAACTGTTAAATAGCTCAGTGACCTCATGTGCAATACTGTTAACGTTGCCAAGCATCACACTTCTAATTACGAATCAACACATAATTTTTTTCACCTTAGCTACTCACATGATATGCTTTAAAGGGACAATTTTCTTCCTCCTTAACAATTAGGTGTACACTAATCTACAGCTGTTCCAATGTTCAACTTTTTCATTTTTTCACAGATGTACAGCTACACAAACATCCCAAATAAAAAACCCAGAGCACTGACTATTTGGTGTAAAACAGTGCTTATTTCTGAAAGAATCGACTTCCATTTTCTACCACAGAATGCACACCCTACCAAAAAGTTAATTTTCTTGCCTCAAAATGTATATTAGCAGCAAAAGCGAAACTCTTTGGGTAACCATTATTCCCCCTTTCTCAAAATCTAGTATTGGAACTCCTAGATTAGGATGAGAAAATGATGACCATCAGCCGCACAAAAGAACTCCTTACTGTTGCTACCACCAAAAATGTTGAAGGCAAAATACAAGATCCAATTTTAAAAAGAGAGGTGCCTTCATCAGCACTGCTCTGCAATGAAGTACTGTGAGTATGCTTGGGCCCCATCCCTAAAACTGCAAAAATGCACTTCTCCCTCTAAAAACAGAATGTTGATTTTGGCAATTTTAATCACTGAGAATATAGACGCCAGAAAAAGAAAAGGCTAAGCATTGTCAGAAAAACTGAACTTTTTAAAAATTATCACTGTAGTTCACACACAAGGTTAATGAAAAGATAATACCTGATAGATTCAGTATCAATGTGCACAGGGGCTATTCTCTCCAGAAGGAACTTTATCATTTCCAGGAATGGATTTGTAGGCTGCTTGGGATTGCCTAACTTCTTTGTAATTTCTCGCTGCAATATTTATTATAAACATATTAACAGAGACAAACAACTCAATAACTAAAACTAAATATATTTTACTATCTATCCTTACCACACAACCTTCAGCTTGTTTGCAAGAACAAGTAGGGCTAACAAGCATTTCCAGCTGATGCCTTATTTTGTCATCATCTTCCAAAACTTGAGTGAATTTCTTCATAAAATCCTGTGCTTTGCCAGGATCTGGCAAGTTTCCTTTAAAGGAATAAAGAGATTCATTCGCTATTGCAAAGACTAATCAGAAAACCAATTTCAAAGGTCCAATTCAAAAATCTCATTTACGTTGCTAGTATTAATTTTAACCCGGGGTGACAGGATTTTACCAGGTTCATCTCATGACAGTTCAGTGTTAACTCTGTGCTGCATTCTTTAAAACTGCATTCTGTTTTAAAGTTGGAGAACTCTAAGTTTAAATACTAATAATAATTTTGGGATACAGCTAATATTAACTCAGCTAGTTTGCACACCTTCTAGATTCTTTCTGTCAGTTTTTTTCACCCCATCCCATATCAATGCACATATTCTTTTTTGTTGTGTATTTCATCACACATACACACATAATTTGATGTGTGAGACAAAAACGAGAAAAAAAATCACAAAGACAAAGACTAAAAGCTGCAGCAAACTACTTGATGCGCAGCAGTTTGTGGAAAGAACTGTAGTAAATCATAGAAGACCAGTAATAATGGTACTCACTAGACAAGACTACAAGTAAAAATAAATAAATCCCAATCCAAGGAGAATTTCAGGTATACTAAATTTCAGAAGTACCTCTGCCTACAAAAAATGTAGGGGATGTAATAAACAAGCAAAATCTATGTGTTGGATAATGTACTTAAAACCATCAGGATATATTGCAAAATAAGGTTTTCCTGGTTGTCTCCTGTTCCCAGAAAATCCTTTTTAAAGGGTTGTGGACTATTCTGAACAGCACGGATAGTGGTGGAAGAAGACATTCAGGAAGAGGCTTTTAACTCTATTTTGGATTATTTTCCATTTCTGTTGCTTTCCTCTGTACCACATCCTATGCTGTTCAGAGGTGTCATCCAGCTGTCCAAAGGACTTTTCAAAGCTACAGGAGGCTTCAGTTTGTGTGCCTCCTTCCTTTACGAATGTCTTGCTCCAATTTTAGGATATAATTCCAATTCATAAACTTGAAAACAAGACATTATCAATAAGATTCCTTAGTCCTTTCCAGCACATATGCCTGTAAGCAAACAATACCCACTATCTTGAATGCCTGTATTTCTTGCTATTAAACAAGAAGACTCCAGGAGATGAATGCATAATACAAATCATGCTGTTATCTAGAAAGAACTTCTTAGAAGGGGTGGCATTATTCCTAACATTCATGTCTGAAAACTGTGTTACATTGCATCTTTTATAGATTCTGTGCAAACTGCCATATTTTTCCATGGGGGGAGGGACCAAAGTGCTTTGATCCCTGCTGTCGCAGAAGGGGTGGCATTATTCCTAACACTCATGTCTGAAAACTGTGTTGGATTGCATCTTTTATAGATTCTGCGCAAACTGCCATATTTTTCCATAGGGGGGAGGGACCAAAGTGCTTTGATCCCTGCTGTCGCCCTCCACTTTCTTCACAAGCGGTGGGGGGCAGGAGGCAGGGATCAAAGCACTTTGATGATTCCTGCTTTCCCCCTCCACTTTCTTGTGAGGAAAGTGCATTCCCCTGCATTTTCTTCACAAGAAAGTGGAGGGGGAAAGCAGGAATCATCAAAGTGCTTTGATCCCTGCCTCCCCCTTCCACTTGCTCGTGAAGAAAGAAATTATGGGTTAGAAAAGTGGGTGGGGCGTCTTATACACTGAAAAATACGGCAACTAATACATAAACCCTAAAAAAATATTATACCTCCAATTTCCATCTGTCGCAACAACCACTGGTTAAGCTCTGACATATAACAGTATTTCTATTACTTCATGTGAAGAAAGAAATTGTGGGTTAGAAAGTGGGTAGGGTGTTTATACACTGAAAAATATGGCAACTAATACATAAACCCTGAAAAAATATTATACCTCCAATTTCCAGCTGTCGCAACAACCAGTGGTTAAGCACTGACATATAACAGTATTTCTATTACTTCATATAACTTGCTCATTCATTTCAAAGTCACTATTGGATGTTTTTTTAAAGTCAAGAAATACTTGAATTAGTCTAAAATATGAATGAGGAACCAGAGTCTGCTCAAGTATTATGCTTAAAAACATTTTTAAAACTTACTTGTTATCACCATCACTTTTGAAAATATAGCTTTACTGCTGGCATCTGTCTAGAAATCAAGAGATAAGACTTTTCAATGTCAAAATTTTATAATAACATACATCATACAATAGGCAGAATCACACCTATTAGAATCACAGAGTAATGAAACTGGAAGACCTATAAGGTCATCTAGTCCAACCCACTACAGGAATACAAATCAAAAGGTATCTGCCAGACGGCTGTCTACATTTCTCTTGAATGCCTCCAGTATTGGAGCACTCACCACCTCTTGAGTAATTATTTTATAATTACAATTATATAGAAGGAAGGAATTTTGTCTTATGGCAACCTTTTTCAGGGTTTTCTAGGCAAAGAGTACTCAGAAGTGATTTACTATCCCTTCTTCTGGAGCCATCCTGGCACTGTAGAGCTTGCCCAAGGCACAGTGGGAAAGTGAACCTCTGACTCTACAGCCAAATACCTAACTTTCCGAGCTATTCAGCCAATCTTATACCTCTCAATAGCTATCTTTAAAAATAAGCTGATTTACAAAATTAAGAATGCTTGTTAAGTAAACTATGCCATTTCACAGTTATATGTAATACAGTTGCCATATTTCAATGTGCAAGTTTTTCCTGTCCATGTGTAAAAAATCACATTTTACAGAAGTTCGTCCCTATATGAATGCAAGAATATTCTATTAATGCTCATTATTAGCTGTATCAAAACTTGCCTATTAACTTTAGAAAGCCCAGAGACTTCTGGGTAGAGTGGGTGGCATATAAATTCAATAAATAAATAAATAAAAGCCGCCTTGATTTCTATGGGGTTACTAAAAATATTTTTAAAGCAACATTTGAAAATAAATGTAAATACCAGCTGATGTGATTGGTACCAAAAAACTACTAGATGTAATTAATTTTCCCCTTCCCTTTCACCATTCACCAAAATTTTTCATTCAATTAAAAAACAAAGATGGGGATATTCTGCTGCTCACAGTATTTAGCCAGCTACAAAAGCTGGGTGAAGTGACATTTCTAGCTGTTGCTGATAAGTTTTGGGGCAGAGTCTAACATACATCAGTTGAGACAGATCAAAAATGGAAATTAAATCAATTACTGCTTTTGGAATATGTCAAATTCTTTTGATGAAATTATCTAGAGGATTAAGCACAATTTCTCAGAATTAATCTCTTATCTTCTTTATCAGAAATGCTAGGCAGCATAAGACAGTGATTACCTGTCAAAATTCTGCATAATCTATCTCATAGTTGTTCACTTATTTATACAATTCAATGTCTAGAATCCTGTTGGCTTAAATTCTGTTGCCAATCTCGAGTGACCTCATCAGCTACTGGAAATTTAAAGCTATCTATCCACCCCCAGGCTCTGGAGATACCTATGGATCTCCTTCATCCTGGGAAGCCTTTGGAAACTGTAAAATGGGGTAGGGGATGACTTAAAGATGGAAAACTGCTGATACAAGTTCATTCCACTGAGATAGATGATGTGGACTGACAACCTGTAAACTCAATCCTTGCCCCTCTTTGTCTCATTAAATAATCTAGTAGGAGAAGGATGAATGCTAAGGATTTAGGAGAGGGCACACAATACCTTCAGAAAGAAAAATGACCCAAGTGCCCTTGAAAGAAGTTATAACTGGAGTATTTCTGAAGAAACCTAACCTAGAATCAGAAGATGATAACTCTTATACTCTGGTAACTAAGAAGCCTTCCTGGGCAAGCTGGCTGAGAGAACTGGGCCACTGTTTAAGCCTAATTCAGAGAGCTCCAACAGTTAAGACTTATCATTAAGTGAGTATTGAATCCAATCCTGTTTTTTTAGTCAACTCCATCCACCCTGAGCCCTGAGCTGCCTTCTCATGGCGAAGGGGCTTGAGTAATTCAGAGAAGCTATGGGCTATGCCGTGCAGGGACACCCAAGATGGACAGGACATACTGGAGAGTTTGGACTAAACACGATCCACCTGGAGCAGGAACTGGCAAGCAACTCCAGTATCTTCACCAACAAAACTCCATGGACAGAAACAAAAGGCTAAAAGATATGACGCTGGAAGATGAGCCCCTCAGGTCAGAAGGTATCCAACATGCTACTGAGGAAGAACAGAGGACAAGGACAAGTAGTTCCAGAGCTAATGAAGTGGTTGGGCCAAGCCAAAAGGACGCTCAGCTCCAGATGCGCCTGGAAGTGAAAAGAAAGTCCGATGCAGCAAAGAAAAATACTGCGTAGGAACATGGAATGCAAGATCTATGAACCTTGGGAAGCTGGATGTTGTCAAATAGGAGATGGCAAGAATAAACATTGACATCCTGGGCGTCAGTGAACTAAAATGGACAGGAATGGGCGAATTCAATTCAGACGATTAACATATCTACTATTGTGGGCAAGGATCCCATAGAAGAAATGGAGTAGCCCTTATAGTCAACAAAAGAGTAGGAAAAGCTGTACTGGGATACAATCTCAAAATGATAGAATGATTTCAATACGAATCCAAGGCAGACCCTTCAACATCACAGTAATCCAAGTTTATGCACCAACCTCCATTGCTGAGGAGACTGAAACTGAACAATTTTATGAAGACTTGCAACAGCTTCTAGAACTGACACCAAAGAAAGATGTTCTTCTCATTCTAGGGGATTGGAATGTTAAAATAGGGAGTCAATAGATAAAAGGAACAACAGGGAAGTTTGGCCTTGGAATTCAAAACGAAGCAGGGCAAAGTGTAACAGGGTTTTGTCAAGAGAACAAGCTGGTCATCACAAACACTCTTTTCCAACAACACAAGACGTGATTCTACACATGGACATCACCAGATGGGCAATACCAAAATCAGATTGATTATGTTCTCTGCAGCCAAATGGAGAAGCTCTACAGTCAGCAAAAAGAAGATCTGGAGTTGATTGTGGCTCTGATCATTAACTTCTTATAGCAAAACTGAAGATTAAACTGAAGAAAGTAAGAAAAACCATTGGGCTAGTCAGGTATAATCTAAACCAAATCTCTTCTGAATACACAGTGGAAGTGAAGAACAGATTTAAGGAACTAGATTTGGTGGACAGAGTGCCTGAAGAACTATGGATGGAGGCTTGCAACATTGTACAGGAGGAGCAACAAAAACTATCCCAAAGAAAAGGAAGTGCAAGAAAGCAAAGTGGCTGTCCAACGAGGTCTTACAAATAGCACAGAAGAGAAGGGAAACAAAATGCAAGGGAGATAGGGAAAGTTATAGAAAATTGAATGCAGATTTCCAAAGAATAGTAAGGAGAGACAAGAGAGCCTTCTTAAATGAACAGTGCAAAGAAATAGAGGAAAATAATAGAAAGGGAAAAACCAGAGATCTGGTCAAGAGAATTGGATATATTAAAGGAGCATTTTGTGCAAAGATGGACATGAGAAAGGACAAAAATGGTAGGGACCTAACAGAAGAAGAAGACATCAAGAAGAGGTGGCAAGAATACACAGAGGAATTATATCAGCTGACCTTAAGCCAGACATCGTGGAGAGAGAAGTCAAGTGGGCCTTAGAAAGTATAGCTAGCAACAAGGCCAGAGGAACTATTTAAAATCTTAAAAGATAACACTGTTAAGGTGCTACACTCAATATGCCAGCAAGTTTGGAAAACTCAGCAGTGGCCAGAGGATTGGCAAAGATCACTCTACATCCCAATCCAAAGAAGGGCAGAGCCAAAGAATGCTCCAACTACCATACAACTGCACTCATTTCACATGTTAACAAGGTTATGCTCAAAATCCTACAAGGTAGGCTTCAGTAGTACGTGGACTGAGAACTCCCAGAAGTACAAGCTGGACTTCTAAGGGGCAGAGGAACTAGAGACCAAACTGCTAACATGTGCTGGATTATGCAGAAAGCCAGAGAGTTCCAGAAAAACATTTACTTCTGCTTCACTGACTACACAAAAGCTTTTGACTGTGTGGACCACAGCAAACTATGGCAAGTACTTAAAGAAATGGGAGTGACTGATCACCTTATTTATCTCCTGAGAAACCTGTATGTGTGACAGGAATCAACAGTTAAAACTGGATAAACTTTGATTGGTTCAAAATTGGGAAAGGAGTACAATAAGGCTATATATTTGCCCCCAGCTTATTTAACTTATATGCAGACTACATCATGTGAAAGGCTGGACTGGAGGAATCCTAAGCCGGAAAAAATATCAACAACTTCAGATATGCAGATTTTTACTGCTCTGATGGCAGAAAGTGAGGAGGAATTAAAGAACCTCTTAATGAAAGTGAAAGAGGAGAGCGCAAAAAATGGTCTGAAGCTCAACATCCAAAAACCAAGATCATGGCCACTGATCCCATCACCACATGGCAAACAGAAGGGAAAGATATGGAGGCATCCTGAAGCTGAGGCTCCAATACTTTGGCCATCTCATGAGAAGAGACGACTCCCTGGAAAAGACCCTGATGTTGGGAAAGTGTGAAGGCAAGAGGAGAAGGGGACAAGAGGACGAGATGGTTGGACAGTGTCATCAAAGCTACCAACATGAATTTGACCGAACTCCGAGGCAGTGGAAAACAGGAGATCCTGAAGTGCTCTGGTTCATGGGGTCATGAAGAGTCGGACACAACTTAATGACTAAACAACAACAATCCACCCCAGGATGACACTAATTTTCCTGATATATTTCAATCAGGTACAAAACTGAAACTTAGTTAGAAACACTACAAATTTTGAGAAGGTATTGTGAACACTCTTGTAAAATGCCTTTCATTGTGGATGAAGTTGTCACAAAATACCATTTTTGCATAAGTCAACCTAATCAAGATTTTTAAAAGTAACTTTTCCAAAAAAAACTGAATATAAAGCAGAAATGGAGCATACACTCTAAACATTTTCAGATATTAAAAATCCTGAAGATGACTATGTGTATTTTTATACATTTCTTATTTTTCAGTTCTTTTTATAATAGTAATTCTTCTCCTTTTACTCCCTAAGCTTTGTTGAACTTCTTGGATTTTAAAACTCAATTCCATACTGTTTATAAAAGCAAGCATGATTTCACATTCCAGGGAAGGAATTAATCTGTGTAAAAGTCTAGATAAAAGATAAACAATCTGGTGATTTAATGCATTGTAATTTACGGCAAGAAAATCAAAAAGGCTCAAAACCACAAGAGGGAGCCTTACCAGTGAAAGGGGCCAGAATTTCTGAAAGACACATTCAAGAAGATGCAGATTTGTTTGGAAGGTTAGGGTACACCAGTGGTTCTTAACCTTTGTTACTCTGATGTTTTTGAACTGCAACTCCCAGAAACTCCAGCCAGCACAGTTGGTGGTGAAGGCTTCTGGGAGTTGCAGTCCAAAACTCCTGAGTAACCCAAGGTTAAGAACCAGTGGGGTACACCATTTTGCATAAACATTGTTACTGAATTTTGCTCTTCTATTCACACTTAATGTGTGCAGTGTGCAGTGAACAGCAGCATAAACATGGCCCTCTCTAGGACTGCTGACTTGAGAGATGTCTTTAAAACAGACCAAAGAAGATTAGTTGCTTAGTTATGTGCCATCATGTCAGAACTGACTTAAAGCAACCCTCACAGGGCTTTCAAATATCTTAGGTGAGATATTTAAAAAGTAGTTCTATCAGTTTCACTCCCCTGGTAAGTTTCCATGTTCAAATGGGGATTCAAACCATGGTCTCCAGAGTCCTAGCCTGTCACTCTATTCACTACATCACACTGAGTAACAAAGAAGGCCAGCTGATATCATTTATTATTCCATATTTATTTATTTATTTATTTATTTAATTTTATTTATTTATTTATTTATTTATTTACTCTCCCATTATTTCACCATTTTCTTCTTATTCCTTTCCTTAAAAAGGAAGTGAAAGGAAATTGGATGTCATCATATCTATACCGATTTTGGATGTGGCAGTTCTAAACAATGATGTGCTGCACCCAAATCAATCTAGAAGGTTCTTAACCCAAGTACATGAAACTTTTCTTCCTCTTACACTACTTACTACTCCATTTATTTTGCACTGAATGATTATCAACAAAAATATGTACCTTTTAATTCTCACTATGTGATCAAAACACTACAGCATTTTAAGAAGTTACATTTTCTTCATTCATCAAAATCTTCACTCTCTCAATGAAAAACAATTCTTAGCATTCTCCAAGAAGCTCAAGATGGTATACAAGGTTTGTCACAACTCTATTAACCTCAGAACACTATGTGATAAGCTAGTGATCTTCATGGTTACATGGGGATTTAGATATAAATCTCACAAGTACTAGTCTGACAAGAACAACACTGCTTCCCACTGAACACATATAGATATTCTGTTTAGAGATGGGCACAAACCAACAAAACATCTTTTGGACAAACAGGTGTTTGACACTTCCCAGCCCTGCCTCCTCCACCTATTCAAAGGCAGCACCCGGAGGAGGAGGGGAAGGGACACCAAAGCACTGAATGTGAGTGGATGCTCACCAGAGGAGGCACCAAAAACCTGTTAATCCTAAGGAGGAAACAGTACAAACCACTGATTCATGCCCATCTCTAATTCTGCTTCATCTCATATGTGAATGTCCCTCACTGAAGATTTTAAGATGAATTCACTACTGGTACCTTTCGTTAGATTTCCTTGCCCCTAATAATTTACCAGGGACATGGTGGCACTGCAGGTTAAACCACAGAAGCCTCTGTGCTGCAAGGTCCGAAGACCAGCAGTCATAAGATCGAATCCACGGGACAGAGTGAGCTCCCATTGCTTGTCCCAGCTCCTGCCAACCTAGCAATTCAAATAGGTACAGTACCACCACGGTGGGAAGGCAACGGCATTCTGTGTCTAGTCACACTGGCCACGTGACCACAGAAACTGTCTACAGACAAATGCTGGCTCTGCGGCTTGGAGATGGGGATGAGTACCGCGCCCTAGAGTCCGACACAACTGGACTAAATGTCAAGGGGAAACTTTACCTTTACCTAATAATTTGCTAAAATGTAAAACGCTAAAATGTAAAATCCAGAAATATAACAGGGTTGTGCCCAACTAAACTTTGTGTAACAAACTGTTATTTGTTTTATTTTAATTTCATAGAACTAATGTTTCATACTAACTATTATTGCTGTTGCTACACTTGTGTCTTTGTCATTGTTTTTATCATGCAACTATTTCATCCAGTATTTACAAGTGTTTTTATTTATTCGTCTTGCCCTCGATTGGGTTACTCTTAAAAAAAAAAAGAGTTCAGTGATATTTTTTTGTAAAATACCCTCATTACACTGCATTTATTAACATATTAAAAACGTAAATGATAAATAGGCTTAAATGGTGCTGTGCTTGCTAAGGAATTATCGAAGACTTTCCAATTGTCTGTTCAGTTTATTGGATTTAAAATTGATGCCCAACTGTAGATCACAGTTTAATACTGAACTTTCTGCAGAACTTCAATACACTTTTTTAAAAAAACATTCATCATTGCTCTTAACTTTTTGAATAGCTCTGGTCTAACCTCTTTCAATTTTGCAAAAAAATATCCTTATCACCATTATCATTAAAACCAAAATCTGAAAGTAGCTTATGCTGAAGTCTTAAAATATATTTGGCTTTATGCACAAAATGTTAAAAGGGAAATACTTACTTTTGGCTGCTTGATTAAGTCAACCAAATCCTTTACTTGGTGCCGCAGCAGATTTTGACATTTCCACATTTCATTCAGTGCCCTGATAGTTAAAAATAAAGCAATATATAATTTATACAATAATAATGCTCACAGTAACTTGCTGAACTGTGCAGACTCCAAACACTGTGAGAAACTCCCAAGAAACATCTCAGCAGTCATGAGCCTCCAAAGTCTAATTAACTAGAAATGATCTGTGAAAAACGTATATAAAGTCTTGGAGATAACAATAGTTTTATAACAGAATAAAATAATAAATTATACAGTCAATAAAGAATAAGAGTTTTTGGCTTGTTATTTCTTATCAATCAGGGTGGATAAAAATCGCAAATTAAATTTTAAAAATCCAATTTTAAAATTTAAATCATCAAAAAAATCCAATATTGATGTAAATCATGGTTTAAATCAAATTCACCCTGTTTTCAAACAAATCATTCTACATGAATACATTTATGTAATTTCCAGCAACATTCTATTTCAAATTCCACATGATATTTTGGGGTAGCAAGTTGACTAAATAAGCACTAGATGACAATACTGTCAGACACATATACGGTAGTAGCACAAGGGAACTGGGGCTTGCAGTTAACACACGCTATACACAAATCTGTGCTTAAGTCAAAAATTAAAAGCAGTTGATCCAAGCTATTTTGCACCTGAATTTATTTTATCCTATCTGGAGTACCCTGTACAATTCTACACACTGAGCTCTAAGAAGGGTTGGAATGGTTTAAGAGAGGGTAATGAAAATATTTAAGTACATGGAAAACAACTGCAATGAAGGAAGGCTGAAAAGAAAAATATATCTTCTCTGTTTTGTCCACAGGCAACATCGCAAAATCTAAAAACCTCAATTTACAAGAGTGACAGTTTTGATTAAACATTAGGCAAAATGTCATAACAATAAGATCCAATCTAATTTTGCAGTAGCTATATTTAAGAGCAGGCTGGAAACACAGATAAAAGATATGCTCTAATTCTGATTAATAAAAAACTATTTATTTTTATTTAGACAGCTGTTTGGTACCACTGCAACAATAGCTTCATGCAAGCCACCACTTGCAAATCAGGATATCTTACAAATACAGTAACAGTACATAGTTCCCTGATAAAAGTACCTTCTGAAAGTGTTTATAAACTACATCTACAAGGAGATTCCATCTATGTTAAGTTTAACTTTTTGTAATACATAGAAAAAGATACCTAATGGCTCACCTGTTTTCTTTTCCTATGAAATTAAGAGGAAGTCCCTCCTAAAATAATATTATCATAGACAATTTTAGACTTAAAACCCAATTAGTTTACAAATATGTATATTTTATTTCATGGCTGTGGAGATATAGGCAAAATGTAATGTTTATAAGCAGATGAACATTTTGCGCACAGTGCTGACAACCTAAGACAAGGGTGGAAAGACTATAGATAGTGACTATGAACGCATCTCCAGGTCAGCTGCAGAAGATGGAAGCAATTTTTTATTTACAACAGTTTAGTGAAACTGAGAAATGTCTTCTGCCATCCAAATTTAGACTACTAAAACTAAAGCAAGGTAAGGTTAGTAGATAATAAACAAATTTGAGTGTGAAAGGACTTTTATATAAGTTCTTCTGGTACTATAGACCAGTGGTTCTTAACCTTTGTTACTTGGATGTTTTTGAACTGCAACTCCCAGAAACCCCAGTCAGCACAGTTGGTGGTGAAGGTTTCTGGGAGTTGCAGTCCAAAACTCCTGAATAACCCAAGGTTAAGAACCAGTGCTATAGACTATTTCCTGGGCTGGGAACAAACTGATTCGGCAGTTCTGCATCTGGTTTGCTAAACCACTTTTTCCCAGTTCAAATGACCCTGCATGGCAGAATCTGTTTCTATCTGCCACAGGGCACTGGTTAGCAATTACCACTGTGGTTCACAAAGTAGAATCTAACACAAGATTCTAGCACCATAGAACAGTAAGGAGTAACAGCCAGCATTACATTATCTACTATATATCAGGAATGATTTATTTGAATTGTGGTATGGCAATATTTAGCTACACAATGTATATCGAAACAAAACAATGGGGCAGGTTAGAAACAAATTTTAACTGTTGCCAATTTATTTCCAGCACCAGAGATGAACCAGCTATTTTCTTTGCAAAGAGAACTGCAGTTTACAATAAAATTATTTACGGTATCTAAGAATACAACTAGTAGATTCTTTTGCTTCTTTTTTCCTTTCAAGAAAGACATTTAGTAGAAATCTTTGTTCACATAAAACACCACAATGAAACCAATTACCTCAAGAGGTGGTGAGTGCTTCAATACTGGAGGCATTCAAGAGAAATTTAGACAACCAACTAGCAGATATCCTTTGATTTGTATTCCTGTATTGAGCTGAACTCGATGGCCTTATAGGCCCCTTCCAACTTTATGATTCTATGAAGAACATGCTAAACAAGCTCAGCCTCAAACCCTCGTGGCCCCCCTTCTTTTGCAAAGTTGAAAAAAAGGAATGCACTGGCAAAGTAGTATTCAAAGTAGTAGCCCTATCAGTTTGTCTCAGCATGTTGGCAGAAGAAAAGAAAAAGAAAAAAGGGAAGAACTGTAGAACTTTAAAAAACTAACAATTTTATTTCTGTGCGAGCTTTCCACAAAAGTTCACATTGAAACAAAACTGTTAGTGATTAAAGTGCTACAATATTTTCTTTTTGTTTTTCCTTTTGTTTTATTTTCTACTAACTCTGGCTTATATAAATCAGAGACTGTGCATTAAAAAAACATGTAGCTGGTTAAATACGTTAGCTCACTATGATTGTTTTAAATCAGAATCTTGTTGCTAGAATATAACAAACCAGGACTAGCAGAAGGTGAAACTAACTTCTAGCAAAGTTCTTCCTTCAGCTGGGAAAAGCAGGGGGAAAGCAATGACCCTATGCTTCACCTCATTTCAAGATAGACATGAAGAGCTAAGCTACACAATTGCAAACCACAACAATATTATGGCATTTCACTGTATTGTCCTTAGCTCCAGTTATGCTTCAAATTTCCCACTTTTCACTTACTTTTTTTTCACTTTATGGTTTAGCCCATAATGTTCTTTCCAATAATTCAATTAATGTCAGATGAATGTTTTCAATTTAAACACTAAGTGGACAAATAACTTAAGAGTCTGTCATAACTTTAACAAAAATGTTTTATTCACGGGTGGAAATGTGGGTATTATCGAACATAACACCTTTACTCTATTAAAAAAATAACGAGATGGAAACTAATGTGTAACTGAACATCTACACACTTCCTTCAGCAGCTCACAGTATCCTCCACAAACATCTAGGATCAATTTTAATGGTGTACTATGTCTGTAAGAGGGATGACTCCCCTTTCAGAGCCACCAAGAAAAGCAGTTCTGTCAGCAGAATAAGCATATTTGTGAAGATTCTCAGTCATCCAGGTAAGGTTATCACGAAGCAGAGTCATGACAACTGGTCTTCTTTCTTATTGGGTTGAAATGTTTCATTACTCAACCAAATAGCTTCTTCAGTCTGAGTTGGTCCTACAAACTCTCCTCAGACTGAAGAAGCTACTTGGTTGAGTAGCGAAACATTTCAACCCAATAAGAAGTCCAGTTGCCATGAAACTCAACTTCCAGATAAGCATAACTATATTTCACTGAACATAATTACCTATTGTTAAACCAACTTCAACAAAAATTACTGAAACATAATTTCTTTTGACAACACTAATGTACATTTTATCATCAATCAAGCACAAATCTTCCTCTGCCAGTCTTATCAATTATGTAAGTACTGAACAGACTAGGTTCACAAGTGTCACAAGAAACTTACTTAACAGCATTTGAATCCAGGGTTGCATATAGATAATACAAGCATTTCATTCTTTCATTGGTTTCCAAATTGTGTGGGACCATGTACTGTGCAAAGATACGCTCCACCAACAGTCTGAAAAATATAATAAATAGTAAGCTTCAGTAGTATCAAACTAAAGTATATTTCCCAAAGTTAAATTATGTTCATCAGTACAACATAAATTTACTAATTTACCACACACTAATCCAAGTAGGTCAAATAAATATATAAACAACATTAGTAATAAAAAAAGATATATTAAAAATTGAAAATCAATTATACCCCACTAAACTAAAACTTATATATAAAAAGAAAGTATGAGTTAAATTTAAATTCTCCACTTTCACTATAAAAAAACTGCAAGAGTTATACCACCACACAGTGACACAGTCTGGGTGTAAAGGAAACTGTAGTTTCTACTATATGATTGAGCTTCTACAGTAAAACCCTATACAAGTGCACTTAGAAATGCTGCTACATTCAGTGGGATTTCCTTTCATGTCCTGTATTAGTGTTCAGTTGAGAACACCGTTTCCACCCCTTCTTCTTTTTAAGCATGATAATATAAGATCAAAATCTTTCTTTTTTAAAGCAGATATAATCCCCCGTTACATCTTCTATTTGTTTAAATTATATTTATTAAGGATAGGCCAAGATCAAACCATCATTTCAGATCTTGAATTTACTCATTAAACATAAACAGATCAAAGATCTCTGCACTGAAACTTAAACATAAAACCATGTTTTTAAAAAAAATTAAAGTAGCCAATAAGGCGGGAAAGCAGGTAGAAGCTCATGGCAAAAAAGGATTAAACTACATTGCTGGAGGTAATAAAAGGAAAAATCCCAGTTTACCTGCAATTATCTATTTGATTAAACGTGTCTTGAATATTTCAATCCAGCAAGCTACTGCAGACATAACCAAAGATCTAAGGATGCCTAGTTTCCGAAATTCTAAGCCAGGCAGTTGTGTAGTTTTCAAATTTCCTAATCAAAGAAACAAGTCTAATACAATCTGAGAAAATTAAGGTAGCTGTCTATTCTTCTACACTTTTTACAACCTTTTTCTTCTTTACTGTTACTGATCAATAGGTAAAAGCACCCTGGACATCATGGCAAAAACAAAATGGAGAATTTATGTCAGATTCCACCATCTCTGCCAGAATAAACTACCATCTCTTCCTCCTAAAGCTCTTATGCTCCTTAAAACCCTTTTTCATGTGATGAGGAAACCATCTGGAAGAGGTTTTTTTTTTTGTTTGTTTGTTTTTTGCAAAAGGCTACTGGCAGGAAGAGAACGAAGCATTGATTCCAGTGTCTTTGGATACCACTGAAAATTCACCAAAGAAGATAATATTTTATAACATTAAAAATTAAAGTTAACCTACCGATCATCAATGCTGTTTTGATAATATATATGTAGAAGCTTGTCCTTTATCCAAGCAATCTGTTTTGCAGCTTCTTTTCCAGCTTCTGATTGTAACGAATATTTCTTGTATATCTGTGCAAGTCCCATCATAGCTTCTTTTCTCACTCTCCACTAAAACAATAACACAACGTAAGTCTCAATAGTTACTGTTTATGTTTTAATATGCTAGTATAAACATTTCCAAATATAGAACAGTTTGCACTGCAATTAAATATGTAAGATGGAGGTTTATTATAAGAAAGGTGGGATTTATTATAAGAAATGTGCCTAAAGAAGTAGCAGAAAAAGTGGTGACAGAGACAGGTATGAAAGCCTCCATATTGAGGAGAGACTACAGAAAGGGAAGCTAGAAAGAAAGAACAGGGAAGATTTAATAGAGAAGCCAATAGGCAGGAGAATAAAAGATGTCAAACCTCCCTTGGGACCAATCCTGGGATGAGCCAATTCCATCCCAAGGTCCAGAAATATTCAAGAGTGAAAGTATGGGGACCCAATGTGAGATGGGTGTACCACCGATAAACCCATATAAACACTTAGAAGTGACTTCCCCACCATATATTTCAGATATGTTGTTACCGGTTGAGTGTTTGGTTAAATCTCTTGTTAAAGATTCTGAATGTATAAAGAACCATGGAACTCAGGAGGTGAAATCCTGGGCTTAATTTACATGAAAGAAGAAAAAGAAACATCTGTTGTTCAGTTAAATAAATCTATTGGACTAAAGACTGAGTCTGTGCTGTCTAACGTGGGAAATTCTGGTGGATGGAATGGAGGGAGTGGCCTTGCACAAACCTCACACCTATTGTGGATGAAAACAGTACACGAAGACAGTTCCTCTAGATTTACAGTTGCTTGCATAGAATGCTCTAGCAAACCATCCTAGACAACAATTGTATCTGTAACCCTCATAATCCCTACATATAACAGAATTTCACAACAAATTTATTTGCATAATTAGTCAAAAAAGGATTAGTAAAGATACTGTCTTAATGACTATGCTTTCACTAATAAGATACTCAAAATAGCAGAATGACAGCATTGGAGACTGGCCTTAAATTTTATAACTTTTGCAGAAGTCAAGTAAAACAATATTTTGTCTCTTTAAAAAATAAAGCAACACACACATACATATTAGTGAAAGCACAGCACTTACAAACTTCAAAATCCAATCCAGTAGTTTTTGTCAGAACAACCTTAATGCAGTATCTTTATTTTTCCCTGTTTTGACAAATGAACTATATCTATATAATTTTAGATAATTCTAGGCCACTTTGGTGGAATACCACTATTTAAGAAACACAAGAACTGTGCAGCTGAAGTTTGTCACACAAATATGCAGTTGGACAATTCTTGTATGAGAAACGTAATAATGAAGGAATCTGACATACTGAACAACTTGCCTAATTTGAACTAACCATCAAAGTAACTAATGTACAAAATGACTTACCCGTTTGTCAAGTGTTCGCTCTCTCACAAAATTAAGCAGATGATCATTGACAAGTAAAAGATCTTTCTTAGCAGCAGTAACGATTGATACAATAACATCATGCCTAATGGCCTCTTCAGGGTCATGAGACCTCACTTTAAGATATTCTATACAGAAAAGACATTTTAATTAAAATCTTCATAGCATTATGTGAAATATTTGTAAATTCATACAGATTGCTGTCAGCTCACTAACCCTTCAGAATAAAATACAGTCATCTGCATAATATAAGACACCTCTGCAGTAATTTCTTATTTCCACTTGATAAATTTAATTTTAGTTATTTAATAGATACATTGTATACAAAAGGAATTTAATACGAGGAAACAACTTATTTAACTGTTTCATAGTTAGTTTTCTTGACCACAGGCCAAACAGATGCTAAAAAGCTTATCAGTTCAACGAGGTATTACCTATCATAAGGAGGGAAAGCACAGTAGTGTCTTGATAGCAAGGGAGAAAAGAGTACCAACACCATGGTGATGGTCTTAGAACTGCAGAGCTGAAAGGAACCCTATGGAAGTCCAGCCCCTGTCAGGCAGGCATGGTGGAGAATTGAACTCCCAATCTCTGGCTCTGCAGCCAAATATCTAAACCACTGAACTATCCAACAGTTCAATATGTTCATGGACCATGTGCAGCTTCCCAGGACCCCTGCCTCAGTCCTGCAAACTTCCCTATATGCAGATAAAATACAAACTGCATAACTGTAATCAAGACTACAGATACACCAATAATGTATGCTGGACCTCATGCCCAATTAAAACTTTACATCAAAGCATGGAGGCAAAGGCTGGTGACTGCATGGGGGTGGAAGATACGCCGCCATCACATGTACAAGAAAAATTGTGGTCTCATCCAAATTAGGCCCTGGTAAATACAGTAGGACCCCCCATATCCGCTAGGGATAGGTTCCAAGCCCCACCATAGGTACTAAAAACCACAGATAATACTGAACAAGAGAGAGAGAGCATAGTGGGGGGGAGAGAACCAGAAAAAAATATTTTTTCACATGCATTACTATAACTGGCCACTATCAGAGGGCATGCTATCTATTCTTCTCTAACAATTATTCAAAGCACAGCCTCTGGCTACATCTAGTGGTTGGTTCTGGTAATACATATTAAAATATTTTTTCTGGATTAAAAAAGTTTTTAAATATTTTCAGATTGTGGGTAAGTGAAACCACGGATATTGATGCTGCAGATATGGGAGACCTACTGTACACTACAATAATGATATAATAATAACCATAAATTAGCAGTAAGACTTTGCTATAAATACTGTAATACTTAAAACAGAAAAAATTGCAAAAGATTATTTCCATTTACAAATCAGATTTATTGATACCTGTTAAATCTTTAGCAAGATCTGGATGATTCATAAGGCAGTGACTAGCAAATTTCACACATTCCAAACGAATAGGTACATGGATATCATTAAACCTGAAGGGGGAAAATCAAAGAGCATATTTACAACAGCTATGGCACCTCTAATTTTCATTTTCATTGAGATGATATATGATTACTTGGAGACACTTCTCTAGATGACATATCTTCTTTCTGCTTTTTGTCTTTTTTTTCTCTCCTTTGTAGATGGAGCTGCACATCACTTGACTTTGGCTTTGCCAGCAGGGAACCGTCATTAATACTGAAGGAGTGGTCAATAGCATTAGATTTACTGCTGAAATCATGACTGACCCATATCTGGGTCAGATATGGTTACTACACTGAATCTGAATCTGATGATTGGGTAGATGTAAGAAGAGCACACAATGGTGGAGCCTTGTGTAAATCACAACAGCGCTAAGCAATTACTGTTTTGTGATGGCTTTTTCCAGACAAGTGCCCTAAAGTGCATGCCTCTTTTTTGCAGCCAGATCTGTAGCCAAATAATGTGTGCAAGTCTGAGAATTGTAAAGCTCTTCGAAGCCAGAAAAACACTTGGAATATATGTTGGTCAAAGGAATCTTAAATCTGCACTGTGGAGCCAGCGGCTGGGAGTTTGATTCCACACTGTGCCTCCTTGACAGAGGCTGGACTCGATGATCCATGGGATCTCTTCCAGTTCTGCAATTATAAGATGCTGCTGATGATAATTTTTAAGAGGGGCTTTAGAGCCATCAGCTTTCAAAATAAAAATAAAAACTAGGTCCACGGAGGGCAAAAAAACAACCGATGTTTTCAAATAAATATGAAACAAAAACGAACTGGATAAGAGGAAAATATCTATATTCATTTAGCATAAAAGAATAAGAGAAAGGTTTTCTAAATGATACTGCCTAACTGCCAGACTAAAAAGAACTGACATAAAAGGGAAGGAACAATTGCTGACACATGGAGTGCGGCAACTAAGGCTCTTACCAAAATACATCAGATCAGGCAAGGAAGGTTTTATAGTGTTTTGTGATGGTGCACGAAACCCCATAAACATCAGTAGCAGGGAAATTCTAGTTATAGTTAGTAAGGACTAGCAGAAAAAAACATGAAGAACAGACTTAGCAAGACTCACACGTAATGAGATGTGGTGTGCTAGACAACACAACATATTGAACAAATAAACCAGGGAATCAAATTTAAGATCTTTTTTCTTACACTCTTGTACTAAGTCTCGATTCAATCCATCGTTAACAATGTTATAACGAAAATGAAGGTCCTTGGCTTGTGCAGTTAGCTTTTTATCATCACCATCAAATCTTTCTGGCATTTAAAACTATTTATATGCTTTGCTGGATGCAATTTCCAAAGAAGTAACTGTGTTAGTCTGTCTCAGCATGTTGGCAAAAGCAGAGGGAGAAAAGAGTTTAAATACTGTAGCACTTCAAAGACTAACATTTACAGTATTTCAGAGTGAATCCACAAAAACTGACAATGAAACAATTATGTCAGTCTTTAAAGTGCAAGAATATTTTGCCCTTCTTTAGTTTCTCACCTCTGCTTTTGGTAACACTTTTTGGATGGCTCTAAGCCATGCTTAGAAAATTTCACATACTCAAAACAGACAAGTACATAACATTACATTCAGTTAAAAGTGCAATGGCATATGACACATGTCAAATTAATGTACAACAATTATTGCTAAGAAACTTTTTACTAGTTTAATATGCTCAAAAGTCCTCATGATGTAGTATATGCTGCCCAACCTCATCATATACATCCATTTTAGCCATTTGTATACAGATTATTTAATAATGCTGTAACACATTTATTTCATGCTTGGCGAGTTTATGAAACTTTGGGTCTTTACCAAGAGCATGGCTCAAAGGAAAGAAATATACTTTATGAATGCCTCTTTTTCACACTAATATTTACATGTAATTATAATATAGGGACGAGTTTCCACTGTTATGTCTCTGAAACCACACAACTGTTAAATAAATATGATCAAATCAAGGACAGAAATTAAATAATTAACTCATAGGTCATATTTCTGTTGTTAAGAGTCAGACTATAGTGTGTTACCAACTATCCCCAAACTTCAGTGTTAAAAACATTGTTAAAATACAATAATCATATACCTCCCCAAGTAGCATTGCCACAGTGGCTTATTTTGAGATGCTAATTCGGAATCCTTTGCACCAAACATTTTTGCTAGTAGTTTTACAACCTGCAGCCGCTCTTCATTGTCATTGCTCTGGAAAACACACACATTTTATATACAGATATATAAAAAAGGATACAGCTTTGGAACAAAGCAATTTTTTTTAAAACATGTTTTCTTCTACAACACACCTTACGAAAATTTACAACAATTTTCCTACACTCTTCTGGATCCTCTACCTGTAAACAATTTTCTCTGTGACAGACAGTCACTTTCCTGTTCTTTCAAGATAAAGACATGTATACCCCACTCTGTAAGAATATAGCAGATAGCTGCATATATTTTTTAAAAACTCTGCATAGCTGTTTGCATGAGTGTACTGGAATCTACTTAAGTGATTAGAATAAAGTGAAGCTTGTGATGGGTACTCATTACGAAAAAGGTACAGGACACCAATAATCAGTGAGACAGAATAAATATTCCTGCTGAAATTGTGCCCTCTCAATTCCCCCGGGCAATGAATATCACTGTTTAAATAATGTTATTTCGACACACCTGATGTAACACTTACCTTAAGCTTAAATTCAAGCTGGGGCAAAACTGAGAGTAAAAGATGGCTATCAATATTATATAGCTCCAGAATTAAGTCAAAAACGTGCTCGGAGAGATCGCTGATAGATGTTTTTCCTAACATAAGCACTTGATTAAAGAACTGTAGGACAAACAAGATACATCAGTAGCAGAATTAAAAAAACAATTCTCAGTCCCTCTTAGCAGAGGGTCCCTTAGCAGAGGGACCTGAACCAGCTCCAGTTACAGAAATGTTAATTACTAGCATTTATGTTGCAACTATATAGTCTTTTACTTAGGATGCAGCCCAATCAACTTATTGTGGGTTACTTCTGAGTAGCTGTCCATAGGACATATATTAAAAATGGCAAAAGACACAGCTTTAAAAAATGAGTAATTATTTTTGTCACTGTAATATGACTTAAATATGTTAGGAACCCATCCTGTGATAAAACCGTTATTTTCAACTATAAGACTTAGGCTTAGCTCTCTATACCTGGGGAACTGATTTATTTGAAAATCTGACTCTTAATAGTTTGTCAGTTTGTATCATGGGAAGATCCCACTAACCTAGTATTCTTTCAAATCGTCTGCTTCATTTGATGTTTGGCAATTAAAATAAATTAATGGCAGGAAATATAACATACTAACACTACACTCAGAAGACCCATTTGGTTACTGCTGGACTATAAATATACACTGTGCATTCTTTTATTCAGAGATCAAATATCTAGAAATCAAATTATGATCCATTTGCTTATAAAAGCATCTGTACTAAAATGCATTTAAAGCTATCTTGTACAGGATAAAGAATACCCATTATCCTTTATTCTATACAAGATAAGGTACAATTTAAAATAAATAATCCACAATGACTTTAATTAATAAAAAACATGAACACTCATATCATCAAATACTTTTTAATGAAACCTAATGTACAGAATATATTATTTCTATCAGCCTTTACAAAGAAAAGTGATTATTGATGGTTCTAATGTAAGCTGTATTTCAACTTCAAGTACTAACTACAGTGGTGCCTCGACCTACAATCATCTTGACTTGCAACCAATTTGAGTTACAACCAGCTCCAGTTGCAACATTTTGCTTTGACTTGCAACTGGCGCTTTGAGATACAACCAGAAAAAGGCCCCTTTTCCTCATTGTTCCCTCCCTCCCTCCTTTCCTGCCAGTTTTTTAATCTTAAAGTCATTTTAGGTTTAAAAAATAAAAGTCTCCCCCTAGTGGAAGGATTACCTGCTTTTGCATTAGTCCCTATTTTTAGTTCCTGCTGGAAAGGGTTTTTGTTTGTTTGTTTTAGACTCCAAACTCTTCCCGTCCCAAAATAAGTCTTCTCTCTATCTATCATCTCTCTTTTTGTGACTAAACACAAACATTTATCTGGGGTGGGGGTCTGTGTACCCCAGTGATTACCTTCTTTCTTTCCTCTTTTCCCCATTGTTCCCTCCCTCCCTTGTTTCCTGCCCTTTAAAAATGGCCAGAACGGATTAATCACGTTTCAATGTATTCCTATGGGAAGTGGTGCTTTGAGTTACAACCAAATCGAGTTGCAACCATCATCCTGGAACGAATTAAGTTTGCAACTCAAGGTACCACTGTACAGTGATTCAAAATACTTGCTAAAATATGAATCAGGACCCAGATGTTTTCCTTCAGGACAAAAAGTAACTCAAACCAGGAAATAACTCCATCACCTCCCACCCACTTCCTTGGAAACAGAATGGAGAGACAACTTCAAGAAAGGATTCTCCTACGCTCTACCTCTAGCAGCTAGAGGATACTACCTGGCCCCATTAATTTCAACCATTCTCTGAGTCTGGATCCAAGTTTATGTTTAAACTTCAGTATACTTCCATAAAGAACTGGGTCATTGGATAGGCTGGTCATGTACTATGCTGCCTAATTTGAATCCAAAACAGCCACAAAAGAGTTTCTTTGGTTATCACAAGATGGACAGGTTACTTACCTGTAAACAGGAGTTTCTTTGGTTATCACAAGATGTTCCAGTTAAATAATAATGCAGTCAGCCACATTTTTTTATTGTGGGTCTTATTTGTTACATCTATATTCCTGTACGTCCATAACAAAAAAATCAAGGCACTCTCTGGGTGGTTTACAAGTTAATTATGCAGACTACACATTGCACCTCCAGTGAGCTGGGTACTCATTTTACCAACCTCAGAAGAAGGCTGAGTCAACCTTGAGCCGGCTACCTGGGATTGAACCCCTGGTCATAAGCACAGTTTTGGCTGCAGTACAGTTTAACCACTGCGCCACAAGGCTCTTCCACCAATGAATTCAAGATGGTCCAAAGGATACCCCCCTCCCTCATCAAAACAATTCAGTGCAATAGGTACTTTCAGGAAGCAATATAAAGCAGTTATGATAAAAAACAATATCATCAATATTCAGTGATCATTAGGTTATACATCTTAGTTTCATCTGTGTGATTAGTTTACATTTTCACTTACATTAGTAATATAGGGTTCAATGGCTTGAGCTGTCCTCTTTAATAAAGCTTTTGCCAAGTCATATGCTTGCTTATTTAAGTTCTGAAAGGTAGATTTCAAAAGAAAACATTGTAAGAACATGCTTGACATTTTCTCTAATATATATCAGTAAATCAAGGAAACGGTTTGTCTCAAAAAACAGGGTAACTAAATGTTAAAATATAATAAGCCTACAACTATATCAAAAATGCCAAACTTGCAATATGGAAAAAAACTGATTCTTTTAAAGCAAAACTTATTTTTTTTAAGTTTTATTTTTTTACTAAAATTAAGCATTAACATTAATTTTCAAAAACCAAGAAAAACCTACCTTCTAGACTACATATATATGTAGTCTAAAAAAAAGTAGTTCCACTGAAAATGGCTGAAATCCAATTGCTTAGTGTATTAAGTTGCACTAGAGTAGGCCAATCCATGGGAATTTGGTGAGTTAACTCCTCTGTAACTTCATTGATTCAAATGGGCTTATTCTACTTGCAATGTAGTATACTAAAGTAAGTCATCAGAGTTGAACCAACATTCTTCACCAAGAAACTGACTATTCACCAAATCCCAAATGATCTGATGAGCCTACTCTAGTGCAACTCAAGACATTAAGCAACAGAATTTCAAACAATATCACTGTCTTAGAGATTTACTGTTTGTCATAAATCTTGGATTCTGTTCTCTTCTGTCTGTCAAACTATTTCACTTCATTCATCCAAATTTTAAAAGATAAATATTTTATACGTATTTTAGAACTAAAATACAAATGTATTGTACACTTAAACAAAAAGTATATTTTAATACTAGTTTAAGATGAAATTTGATACAAATGTGTGAAAATGTAAATGGTTGAATCCAGTGGAGGCTTTGCATTAGCAGCAAGTGCTTCTGCATTGCAAGCAAAAAGCATTATTCCTTAACACACTGTACATATGGTTCCCCGAAATTGAGTAATCTTCTGTGGCTTATAGGGTTGCAGTTTGTAGGAGACATTAGTAAGATAAAATTTAAAAAATCATGTGCACTCACTGAGCAAACAGAAGTGCTTTTTATTCAAGGAAAGCCGCTACTGGATGCAACCCAAAATCTTTAAAACTGAATTATAACCACCTATCAAGCAGACTTGATTTAGCAGCTGTTTTTCTAATTATTTTTAAGTAACGGAAGAAATATTAGACACTACAAACTGCAAAATACCTTATGCATATATATAACTGGAGCTCCAGAAAAGCCAAGGATGAGAAAACTGCCATAGGTGCTGAGATCCACTACTCTGCAAATTACCAGCACCACTACAGAACCAAAATAAGCAATATTGTACTTCTATTTTCTTCCTTCAAACTATTTAAGTGCTACAGTGTATTTAGTATCAATGGCTCTTTATTTTTTCTTAACTTTAATACAAAGGGTAACACCAAATTAAAATACTTACCTTATGTGCAGGCACTAAATTAACCAAAACTGTATCCAAAAGCTCCTGAGACACTGTGTCTCCTTCACAAATGATAGAGCTCATCAAATCCACCATGTGCATATGAACCTTCTGATTATGACCATTGCTGAAAATGCAACAAAACAATTTCTTATGGATCAGGCAGAAGGTGATGCTAGTAGAGCTGCCTTTGTTTTAGTTGCTCTCCACAAACTTTTTAAACTCATTGGAGAAACCAAACAGCCACTAAACAGGACCACAATCAGCAGTTTTCCTTCATTTGAAGGACAAAGGACACTCATTTGATGACCAAGATGTACTCATTTTGGACCAAGAAGATAGGTAGTTTTTTGGGGGGGCATACATGTACATATAGGAAATCCCTCACTTAACAGGGGTGGAGGCCTTAGATACAATCTGTCTCCTATTTATCATGCTGCCCTTTCATCTATCCCCAGAAAGATTAGACCACACACACCAGAAAGACCAGTGTTAACAACCCATTTCAATGGGTGAACAATTGCAGAAGTGGGATTATCCCTCACCCCTAGTCCTTTGTCCTTCTAATGAGCTTATTCAGACCAGGGGGAAACCAACATGGAGGATATATAAGGGATCTTCTACCAACTCTCAAGAAGCTACGTACTTGGATGAATAGCGAAATATTTCAACCTAACAAGAAAGAAGTCCAGTTGCCATGACTCAACTTCCAGATAACCACACCTAGATAACTGAGAATCTTCACAGATACAGTACCTATACAACACTTGCGCGAACAGTCCAATCGCAGTTTAAACACTGATGAAACTTTTCTCTCAGCAGAAATTCAGTATGAATTTACTTTGGTCAGTTGTGACAAAAAGTCCAAGTACCTTCAGTAGGTTTACTTTGAGTAGCATTAGTGGTGGATTTAGCATTGAGTAAATATGTACAAGATAATACTGCTGATGAAATGAACCTCCAAAAGTTGGATACTTATGCCTACCAACCTTACATATTTTTAAAACATACTTTTGTTGGCAACGACCAATATACTCACTTGATTACAGAGAATAATGTTCTGTACAGTTGTGTGAAAATTTCATTGCTATCTTCTAGTTCAAAGCATATGTTATAAGATTTAACCCATGCAATATTCTATATAGGAGAAAAGAACAAAGATAAAGTAATTGTAATTCAGCAAAATGAAACCAACAAATACATACTGAATAAGATTCCCAGGTGAAAAAAATAATGTTTCTGATAGTCATAAATGCTCACATTTTACCAGAAATAAAACTTTTAAACTCAGTGAATACCAATCATAAATACTTATAAACTTACCTCTAGCAAATAAAAGTATCTATTGAACTGTGGACTTTTTGTATCTTCCAATCCTTTTAATTGTCTTGTTATGAACATAAATATATCCTAAAATGTAAACAGTAATTTATTTCACATAAAAATAAGCATATATTAATTGCATAATTATTCACTTTCTCTATTGACTAATGAACTTAATTTAACTAACCTCTTCTTCTCAAAAAGTCTGAAGTGCACAAAAGATAGAAAATATGAAGAACCTCAATTAGGATCTCCCAACACCGATTTTCACTTTATTTATTTCAAACAATATTAAGTTTTGTGTTCTCTTAATCGGTTATAAAATGTATTAACAGAAGTGGGGACATCATTTTTAAAGAGATAATCATTGTTCTTTCCCCATTACTTCTCTACAGCAAAATCAAGCCCATTTTATGTTACAGTCTGAGGGTGATAACACATTAAATATACTACTAAACTAAAATCTGTGGTTTCAAAATTTATGTGCAATGTAAAAATATTGGCAGTGATCGATAACTCAATATTAGAAGGCATTTTGATCTTTTTGAGGCACTTGTGATTTTTTAAAAGGCCAACATGTATTGCCTTTTCACCTGAACTAGCAAACACAACAACCCTGAATGCCTACTCTCTCTCTCTTTTTTTAAATCATTCAGCATTTCCTTTTATGTTAAGTGATTGTGCACAGTTGGGGGAAACTACTCGCTGCATTTTGCATTAACTGTAGTAAACAGGCAGAAGTGCTTGTTGTTTTGTGCTTATACGGGAGGGGAGAATCTTTGTGGTAGCAGGAGAATCCTAACAGGCTATAATGCTGTGTTGAAACAGTTCAACCCCACTCCCACCTCATCTATGCTAGGAGACAATCCTTGTTTAGCACAAGAAATCACAAGAGCCATCAAACCAAGAAAACAACACCAAACCGAAGAGGAAAAACAGCCACCCACAAATAAAGTATTTCTGCCATACATCAAAGGGGTCACAGACCTCATGGAGAAACTTTTGAAAAAACACAACCTACAAATCGTATTCAGGCCTACCACAAAAATAAAACAAATGTTACGGTCAGCAAAGGACAAAAGGGATCCCCTCACCCCTGCAAGAGTATACCGGATACCTTGCAGTTGTGGCCAGGTATATATTGGAACCACAAAACGCAGCATCCACCCCAGAATCAAAGAACCTGACAGACACTGCAGACTAAAACAACCGGAAAAATCAGCAGTCGCTGAACATGCCCTGAAACAAGCTGGACATGAAATCCTATTTCAAAATACAGAAGTACTGGACAACACCAGCAATCATTATGTTAGACTGCACAGGGAAGCCACTGAAATCCACAAACACCAGCAGAGCTTCAACAAAAAAGAAGAAAGTCTAAAAGTCAACAAAGCCTGGCTCCCAGCATTGAAAAACAGCCTGCAAAAAGTCATCGAACTCTACACAGCCACAAGGACCGGTGATCACTGCACACAAAAGACCAGCTAACGACACCCATCAATCACATATCTCCACCTTATCACAACAATACACGCACAACAAAAAACATGCTGATCACCATAATCACCCAATCTCCTGAATAGGACAAAAAGTTGATCCCACAGCTATAAATGCTCAACTATCCCACAAACTGCTCCAAAGCACATAGTTCTGACTCCTGTCCTCGAAGATGTTGGCCACAGAGACTGGCGCAACGTTAGGAAGAAAAACCTCAAGAACACGGCCAGACAGGCAGAAAAACCTACGATAACAATCGAATCCTGGCCGTGAAAGCTTTCGAGAATACAAATAACAGATTACTTGCTTTTCAAGAGAGAATAATTAAACATATATTTCTTATGATGACACTAGTAATCATGTTTCCTTGAATAATCCTCTTTCTCCTATCTGTATAAATAAAAGTACATTTCTGTCTGTTTGTCCATTTGTCATTGTACCATACAAAACCAGATGGATTTTTACCAAATTTGGAGTGTAAATGTGGAACAGTCTGCCTGGGGGAAAAAAGTAACATAGCACACACAAATATCACTCCGACAATTCTCTTTTTCAAAAATATGTGGCTGAATTTTTACCAAATTTAAACACAGCAAGTCCCATGTTGGGACTGCAAAAAAAACACCCACCAAAAGCAAAACAACACTGACCCTCTATCCACCCCACCAACAAAACTAAAACTTTTTTTAAAAAAGTAGCACCTTAGCAGTCCAAAGCCTCCTCAGCCTCCTGGGCTTCCGCCGTCACAGTGACTGCCACCAGCAGGCTTGAGCCTGGCCGGGGTACTTCGGCCGCTCGCCTCCCACTCGCTCCTCGCCGCCCTCCACGGACTGATGACGCCGCTGATGCCCGATGCCGGATCCAGCTCCAGAACCAGCACCAGTGGCTGCTCGCCGGGATGGCAGCATTGGTCCTTTGCGTTCCTTGCCACCCGCAGCATTGGTCCACGAAGGGCAGCAAGGAGCGAGTGGGAGGCGAGCAGCCAAAGCACCCTAGCCAGGCTCAAGCCTCCTGACACTGTTCCACCACTGCCTCTGCTGCGGCCGGGAGGGAAGCGGATGAAGCACCCCGGCCAGGCTCACACCTCCCGACGATTGGCCACCCCCACCAACGCTTTCCCTAACCATTGGGGCGAAAGAGCTACAAAGAAGCAGCCTCGCTGCCACCAACAGTTAGTACATTTAAACTTCCCACCTTTTTCCCCTGCCCTTTTTTTTGGTTCGTAAGTCAAAGCTCCATTTGCAAGTCAAAGCAAAATTTTGCGAACAGAGCTGTTCATAAGTCAAAATTTTCGTAGGTCAAGGCGTTCATAAGTCAAGGCACCAGTGTAAAGCAAAAATTGGCATTTAGTATATGAGGAATTAATGGCAGATTGTTGGTAATCTGTAGATCTGTTGCACCAGCAAAATACAACCTCCCATACAGCTGAAATATTTGGATATATATAAGAATAGTTAGAATACTGTACTGTATTCGCAAAGGCTTGCACGGCCGGGATCTAATGGTTCTTGTGGGTTTTTTGGGCTCTTTGGCCGTGTTCTGAGGGTTGTTCTTCCTAACGTTTCGCCAATCTCTGTGGCCGGCATCTTCAGAGGACAGCACATCAGAACACAGCCAAAGAGCCTGAAAAACCCACAACAACCAGTTAGAATACTATTTTTAAAAGCAAAACACAACAATCTGCCAGCTCCTAGTGTTACAATCAGAATCGAAGACTCTGAACCACTCAATGTCAAATGCAAGTAAAGCCTGTAAACTATTCAAGATGCACAACCTTACCTTAAGTTTATCTGGTGAAGTGTATGGTGCTTCAGGGGCATATATTCTAAAAATATCAGCAAGACAGCATGCTACAAGCAAACGAACATCTTTATCAGGATGTTTAAGAAAAAAATCTGAAGCAAGGTGTAGAGCAAGATTCAGATACAGCTCCTTTTCTTCTTCAGAATCCTGGTCCATATCCATGAAAGTTTTAACAACCATCTGTCAAAAGAAAGTTACAAGCTAAGTAACATTCTCTAGATGTGATAGTCTACATTAAATACACTCAGAAAAATTGTTTTCCTCTTTGACCACTTATCATTTTCTTGAAATAATCAATATTTCACTTTCTTCTTCAGTGAGATATAATGTTAAAAATGCTTATACATCCATGTTTTATTGCACCTTCAATTATATATCAATTAAAATATGCACTAATATTTTATACTGGCATATACGAACATTCAACTGAACTAGGACTGAATGCATAAGACGAATTCTGATTCAAAATAAATTTGCACCTGATTAGGGAGACCACTGCCTATCACAGAGGTCAGTACCCTTTAATGTGGCACAAAGCTGGTCTTATTAACATTGCTACTCTTCTACAGTTAAAAGAAAACACAACAAAAATAACATTCAACAAGAGACAAATGCAATTTGATTTCCAATATTATATTTTTTCATTCTTTTCCTCAAAGGAGCTCAGATAAATGGTGGATTTTATCCTACCAATAATGTTGTGTGATGTGGCAAAAAAAACAGCAACAGGTTTAAAGTTAACCAGTTAGTTTCATAGATCAGCAGGGATTTGAGCCCATGTCTACACAGTTGAAATCCAATAGGCTGTCAAATTAATATACAATTTGTTATATTCAGACTTTTATTTAAATATTGTCAATGATAATTTTCTTCTGAATTTTCTTCCGCTCACTACCATTCACAAATGTTGAAAAACAGTCCTGACAATTGCTTTGAGTTTGGGCAAGAAGTGGGTTACTGATGAAAAAAAGGAGTCAGCTTCTAGGATTTTACCTTGCATGATGTCACTTTTTGAATGGTAGTGAGCAGAAGAAGGGATCCTGTAGACCAGGTCTCCAAACTATGGCCTGTGGACCACATGCAGCCCACCCTGTCATTTCATCCACCCTGTTCCCTTCAGCCTGTGCGTGGGTAGGTGCTTTGGTGTGGGTGCAGGTGTGTGTACATGCATTCGGGGGCAGGCAGGGGGTGCGTATGTACATGTGTGCATGTTTTGGGCAGGCATATGTGTGTGTGCTTAGGGGCTGCGTGCATAGGCCACACGTATGCGGACACATGGTCCTCTTCCAATATCTAGTTAAACTCTTCAACTTCTTTATCCATCGTTCAGTTTGAAACTCCTTGCAATTATTCTATATTAGAGCCAATATTAGAATCCATGGTTCTGAATTCAGATTTATTAATAGCTCAGTAAGACCACTGCTACAAAATGTAATGGTGTTTGTTGTGCTATTCTAGCGAGATAGCACATACCTGTTTCCTATTGTGTACGCCATTATAATTTTTTAAAAATCATATATAAAAATTGTCATCAGGGAACCTTATCACCATCACAAACATGAGAAAGGAGAACCTGGGCCATGTGTTCAAAACCTGGGAGACGCATCATACAGTATATATTTTGACCATTTTTGGCTGCAAGCTGACCACATTCACTGTAACATCTGTCCATCAAAAAGAAGTGCTGTTCTGTTCCCTTATATAACCTTACTAGTAATGTACAACAAAGCTGAAACCTTCAACCTGCATCCTTCACCTGGAGCTCCTATTCAAACTCTATGTATATTTCCAGTGAGAAAGGTTTTGTTAATAATAAAGAAATATGCAAAAGTACAATTTTGAGGCTTCAAAATAACTTTCAAAAATGTATAAACAAATTGCTCACTCACTTTTAATCGCCGTACCATCTCTTCTTTAGAAATTTTATCAGATATTTCTTTAACTCCTGGGGGATAAGTAATTTTTCCATCATTGGCTCTTGTCTTGGAATGAGCCATGATGCTGTTTAAAACCTAAAAGAGAGGGGAGAAAATGTAAACATGGTAAATGTGTCACTCCTTCCAACAATGGGCAGCACATAATAGCACAAGAGCAATACTGAGCAGAAGGTAGAGATAAAATATTGAATCCTGTTCCAATTCCCTCTTAAAGGAGCAACTACACCTAATAGAAACTAACATACTATAACTGTATCAAGAAATATATGAATTGCTTTTTAAAAATAAGTCATATAGCTTCTAATTCAGAGTGGATTTGATTTGATTCATGATTTAAATTTAAAAATTCAAATTTCTGATGATTTAAATTTTAAAACATGATTTTTTTGGTTTAAATTTTGATTTAAATTGATTTTTTAAAAAAAAATCATTTATTTTTATCCACCTTGCTGCTAACGCATAATAATAATTACATGCCATTAAGTCAATTCCAACTTGTAACTCTTTCCAGAATTTTCTAGATGAAGTACTCAGAAGTAGCTAACTATTCTTTTTTTATTGGAAGCACTATGGGACTGTGCAGCTTGCCCAAGGTTACACAGACTGCCCTTCTTCTCAGGAGGCACAGTGGGGAACAAATCTCCCAACCTCTGGCTCTGTAGTCACATATCTAATGCACTGAACTATCCAGACAGCCACTAATTCACACAGAACCAGGATGGATTTGATTTAAACCAAAAATTGGAATTTTTTAATTATTTAAATTTTTAAAAATCATTTTATTGTTTTAAAAATAATTGATTTTTATCCACTCTACACAGATTTATAAGTTAAGTGAAACTACGATAAGGGATCCTTCACAAGCTAGGCATTAACCCTGAGGAGAACCTGGAGTGTTTTTTGTTAACTAAAAGAAAATGCAAAATTTGTTCCTAGGGAAATGGAAGCACACACCTCCATCTCCTATTAAATAGAAACCTATTTATACTACATCTAATCAGAGGAAGCACACAGAAATTCTTGGCATTAAAATTTGACATAGTGTACTCTTCAAAAAAGCAAGTGAAACAGTATGGAATATTACAATAAACTACTGTTTTTGAATACTACAACATGATAGAGAACAGCACCAAAGAAGAAAGATATGAAGATTAAGAGAAAAAATATACAACAGGAACAAATTGACTAGATGGCCCTTGTAGCCTTTTCCAACTCTGCAGCTCCAGAATTCTAAGAAACTGATTAAATAAAAAGAGATAAAACCTAAAGCTAGACTACAACACACTGGGATAGCCAAATAAAACTGAAGGTGGCACCACTTCCTATTGTAGCCCCAAAAATCTATTTCAGAAAGGTATGAAAACCCTTCAGAGTGCAATCCTACCCCTATACTGGATGTAGGCCAATACAACAGTAAATGAAGTAATATGGAAAGCAGATTAATGATATCCTAATATCTCATTAAAATCAACAATTGAGTTCATACAACAACAATTTCTGAGAACTGCAGAATTCTTTTATCACTGGGATTTCTAGTATAAATTATTAATATGCCATGAATATAGGCTACCTACAGCCTTCATACTTCAACAATACTTTCAGATCTGTGAAGCAAATAATAACCTATTCTCAAAAGACTAGAAATGAAAACAAATACTTTTGAAAACAAAACAGTTCTCAGTAACTGCTAGAAAAGAGATTGGAAGATGAATGACAGCCAGTAGAGACATGGGCTAACACAGCCTGATGTCAAAGAAGTGAAGATGCTAGGTGGGGCATGAGGCTAAATGACTTGACAAAAACAAGCCTCCTGTTATGAGGATATGCTCCACCAGTTTTGAACTACAAAATAAGCTTGTGTACTGAATACTAGACACCATCTCATGTATGAGTACTTAATGCAAGTGGATACACCTAATACAGCTGTAAGAGTGTTGACACCATCCTGACCTTCCCAATTCATGACACAGAGGTGATCTAACATATAAGGATCAGCAGAAACATATGGTCCCACTGTGTCTAGCTCTCTAAAAGCTGATACAGTATTTTCTTTTTATTTATTATGTTAATGTGTAGTTAATTAAGTTAAGGATACAGGTTACTTTAATCTATGAACTGAATATGCTAAAGGGTGGTGGGAGAATTAAAAAGATATACCATTTTAGTAACAACAGAGATTGAAATAAACAGAGGAGTATCAGACCTTTCAAATCTGATGGGTAAACTGAAGACATTAACTCTTCCAATGTTAACAGTCTAGGATAAAATATCAGGAGGTATGAACTCATCAAAATGAGAAAGCAGCAAGTATTAATTTCCTGCAAGAAACTCAGAGCCAGTTATAAACGGAGGTGGATTTTAATGAACTCAAATCAATTTAAATCACAATTAAATCCCAATTTAAATTTTAAAAATCAGTTTTGACAATTTAAATTTTAAAAATAATTTCTTAAAATTTAAATCATGATTTAAATTGACTTTTTATAAAAAAAAACACTCATACTACCATGCAGGAGGGAGGATGGATAAATGAAAAGGTTGGCAATTTTACTGGCAAAATTGTGTCCCATGAAAGTAAAGCATTACAGGACAGTAATTGGTGATTTGGGACAGTAATGGGTGATTTGTAACAATTAAAGGATCCTGAGAGGCAAAAAGATTCACTCCGGCAGCATACAATACCCTGAAAGCACCTTTCATGGGATTCATCTTTAAAAAATAAATAGCACTGGAGAAGAGGGCTTAATTTGGGAGGGGGAGACAGAAATTAAGAAACTGGATGATTCCAATATTTTGAAAATAAAAACTGTTGGTTCATCAGTACTTAAGAACTTATTTTTAAAAGTATGGTGGATATCTGGAGGCATAAAAACCTCACAAAGATTGAACTTTTTACTCAAAAACTTGTAACTGACAGAATGAACCACATTCAAATTCATTCCATTAAAAAAATCAAACCATGCCCCCAACTCTTTACTAGTTAGTTGTGGGAAGACTCAAAAGATATTTACATGGAGGATAAATAATTAACTTTTAAATAAACAACCGGCAAGAGACAAATTAAAAGTAACAGTACTGTAAACCTTTCCTGGAGGGAAAATACAGATCAAGAGTAATTAAATTCAGTTCTTTGGGACACTTTAAAAGCTGTCCTTAGAGAGCATTTTATCCAAATAGGAGCTACAGAAAAGTGAACACAAGAAACAACCTGAACTGAAATACTCACATGGCTTAATACAACAACATAAAAACAGATTCCTGAAAATCCTGAGAAAACTACCATAATAAAGAATATTCTTAGAAACCACAGATATAGAAAAGATTCAAATTTCATTAATATATTTGCAGACAAATCACAATGAATATGGGAGGAAGCCTTCCCATTTACCAGCTACAGCACTAAGCATGAAAAGCAGGGTAACCCAAATGAAGAATTATATGATTCAATTAACCTCCTCACGCACATACACAAAAACAAACTATCTCAGTTTAGAATATTATGCAATCCTATATTCATCATGCTGGTTGGATACTCAGTAATTTACTTAACTGGTCCACCCTCCTGGGGCCGGACCATCCACTCACCTTCCGCTGTTGCCGCAAGCTTCGTGCTCCCTTGCAATCACTCCAGAGGTCGTGGTCTGCAAGCCACTCCTGGCAGGAGGTGGGAGAACAAGCCTTACTGCAAGGTTTAAGAGTGGCTCACAGACTGCGAGCTCCGGAGCGACAGGAAGGGAGCGCAGAGCTCACAGCAACAGCAGAAGGTGAGTGGACGGTCTGGCCCCAGGGGGCTGGACCCTCAGAATGTCCACTTGTACACCATCTCTAGTCTGAATTGAATTGACAGCATATGATTATTATCATATTCATGACAGATGGAAGAGATAACAAATATGAAAACTTTCATTCAATATTTGAATAAAAGTAAATTACAAAATGAACACACACACACAAGACCTTAAAAAACCACTAAAAAGGAAATGGAAATTTTAAAATGCTGTTCACAAGTTAAAACAGGTACTGTAAATCTTATTTCTGACAGAATTTTACAAGACACTCACTGAACCACTCACTTTATAACCTCTAAAACTAAATAATGGTGTAGCAGAAGAAGAAGAATTTCCTTCGTCCTCATCAACAGTTGGAATAACTGCAATCCCTAACCCAACAGTAACTGCAATAATATATTAGAACACAGACCAACAGCTATGCTTAATCAAAATCTGAAAATACTAATGGAAACTTTGGCCAACAGGATAATCCATTCATCATGTTACACTGACCCAGACCAGACAGGCTTTATGCGAAACAGATATTACTTTTTACTTTTATTAGACTTATACCCTGCCCCTCTATACAAAGTCTATTCGGGGCAGCTTACATACATAATAAAACACAGCAGTATAACAAGCATAATAAAATCCTTCAAAACTAAAAACTTAACACTTATTGCTAAAAACACTGCCAGATGGAATAGTTGAAGAAACAGAAAAAAAGAATCATTTAATTGACTGGAGGGAAGGCTTGCCTAAAGAGCCAGGTTTTTAATTTGCTTTTGAAAACACCCAGCAAGGGAGCCAGACGGATTTCAGTTGGGAGGCTATTCCATAGCTGAGGGGCCACTGCCGAGAAGGCCCAGTTTCTTGTTCTTTCCTTCCGGGCTTCTCTCGCCGTTAGGCCCCTCAACCGTCCCTGCTGGCTATGCCAAGTGATTCGGGTAGACTTAGGTGGGAGAAGACAATCTGATATCTATCTGACTCATTTAGATATATGCTAAAAACAATACATATATCAATGGCTTAGTTGAAAATGTAAGTAACCCCAATTTTCATCAACCGAAACTTGTCTCTCGCTCAATTTCAATCTTACTCTATGCTGATGATGCCGTTTTACTGTCAACAATGTGTGTAGGATTCAAAAGACTTCTGAGATCCTTCTCCTACTGTAATAAAGAACAACTAATAATTAACTATGCTAAAACCAAGATTATGGTTGTGAGTAGAAGGAGAATAAAGCATAAATGGTCTCTAAATGGACACCCTGTAGAGCAAGTAGCATGCTACAAATACTTTGGC